TGATAGTTTGTGGTGTTAAGTTCTTGAAACATAAAACCAGGACCAGGCCCTGTCTCAAGCTGATCTGTTCAGTGTAGACATTCGGCAGCATTTGGGAGGGGAAAAAATGCTTTATTTTGCTGGCAGCAAAGGTTGCAGAGCTACTTCAGGAATGTTGTTATATCTGACAGGTCATCCCTAGCTTCAGCTGGTGCTTTTCCCTATCCAGATGGTGATTAGAGAATACTTCAGGTAATTTAAACCATTAGAAGATGGCTGATCTAGAGGAAATCTGTGAATCTGAGGTAATGGCCTCAAATTGCACCAGGGAAGGCTTAGACTGGAAAGAAACGCTTCCTAATATCTAGAACGGGTTGTTAGATATTGGAACGGGCTGCCCAGGGAGGTGGCGGAGTCCCCATCCATGGAGGGGTTTAAGAACAGAGTCGACATAGCGCTTAGAGATACAGTGTAGTATCCCTAACTGTCAGTGCTAGGTAAATGGTTGGACTGGATGATCTTTTCCAACCTAGACGATTCTGTGAAATACAGTTTAGAGTAGTCAGGAAATTAATCAAATATACAGAACTACTGGCATTTTTGAACCTTCTCATAGTTCCTCTGAGTTCTGCTAGGAAATCAGAGGGGGAAATCCTAGGGTAGCTTAATTAAGAGAAGACTGTGACTTTTACCCCACAGCTGAATTGCAAGTGGTAGTCACTGTGTTAAAATTGCCAGGCAGACTTGTATTTTTAATTAGCATTTCTTGTAAGCAAGGACTTCTGCTGCTGGGCATCCCCAACACCAGCTGGCAAGAGGCTGGTGCTCCTCAGGCTGCCTTTTGGCCTTCCTGGACTACTGTCTGTCTTTCACTGCTGGGAAGTGCAGCAACTGGAAAGAAGAATTGCTTTATCAGGCTTTACAAGCGCAGTATTACGTGCGTTAAACCCCGTATCTGGACGTTGCCAGGTGTCAGCGGAACGCTGCACTAGGCCATCGCTGGAGCGGGCCAAAAGGCAGCGAGGAAACGAGGAAACGGAACACGCCGTGTTCCTGCTGCTGGAAGTACCTGAGCTGCCCACGGCGCTCCACGCTCTGCAAGGACACACACGCTTTGGCAGGTGGTCACTCTGTCACGGAGAGCGAAAGCCCCCATCTTTCCTCCACGGGAGCTCGGTCGGAGGCGATGGGCGCCCAGCTGCACACACTCCTGCAGGCTGCCTGCTTGGCAGCAGCGGTCTCTGAAACGTCAACTCTGGCATTTTCAAACAGATGAATTGATGCTATTGTGTGTCTGATGCACAAAGTTTATTTTCAGAACACATCTATAAGTTGAATTGTTTTCTGCTGTTTAAGGAGTACTTTTAAAATAGGCCTATTGCAAGAAACCATCTCCCTATTAACAGACTTATGGCTACTGGCCAATACTGTCTTAATACTATCTCCTGTTCAAAATTGGTATTTACATCCAATAAAGTGCTTTAAAAGCAAGTAAAATAAGTACATGGTAATATAAATGTTAGTGAAAATATCCGCTAATTTTTGTTACTATTCAATAGAATCTTCTGAGGATGTGGCAGAGGATCGACTGCATAATACCTACATGTTGCCTATTTTTTGTTTGGGAAATATATACTTAAACATACAGCAGCTGAAGTCCAGTTTTGGGAGAACTTGTAAAATCATATTAATGTATGAGAACAAATGTAAAACTTGGATTACTTTAAAGTATTCTTTTCATTGTCCGGTGATGTTTTTTAAACACATAAGAATTAAATCTACAGTTCTGGATGGGAGTTTGTGTGGCCCAGAACAGTTCATGTTAATGTTAGTTATTACAGAACTGATAAAACCTTCCTCTCTAAAACTCTTAAGAATTGGCACTGTCCTCATCTTTGCAAATAATTCTTTATATATGTTAAAAAAAAAATCTACTTTTTGTTGCAAATACTAGGGGTTCTTCCTCAGCCATTGCATTGTTCAGTTTTGTATCTTAGCTCCTTGCTCAAGATACTGGCCTCAATTCTTTATCCCATTCTCAATATAATTATAGCCCCAAAATTGCCAAGTAGGAGTGGGAGATCACGCAAACATTGTAGGACTAAGAGGAAAAGTTTAAACACATTGCCTACTGTGTTATGAAATGCTAGGAAAGCCTCTGTGGGTTTTTTTAACTGAAATATTTTAATTTTAGGAGCAAGTCCCTGTTCCTGTTTATCACCCGACTCCTAGCCAGACTCGGCTAGCAACACAGCTGACGGAAGAGGAACAAATCAGAATAGCGCAGAGGATAGGCCTTATTCAGCATCTACCTAAAGGAGTCTATGATCCTGGAAGAGACGGCTCCGAGAAGAAGATCAGAGAGTAAGTTACAGAAACCGAACTGAACGGATGTGGCTGTCGCATTGGTTTATGATATTGCCCTGGGAAAACCTGATCTTGTCCTCTTGTTTTTGCTCTGTTTTCAGGGACTGTAATTTAATGTAGATTTCTGAAAAACATAACCATGCAGAAGGCTCTTTGCCTTATCTTTACTTGTTTTCCTTGTTACAGGTGAAACTTAACTTTCCTGACCCATGTGATTCATGCCCTTAAAGGTTTTTTCCTCTTTATCCTCTTTTCATGGGGAAATAAGCTCATATGACTTCTTCACCCTTACGGCTGCCTTTTACCTTTTCTAATTTTATGCATTCTGCTGAGCTGCCTCTGCCATGCCTACAGAAGGCTTCTTGCCCTCACTAACATTGTAGCATGTGCCCAGGGTTACAAAGGAGATGCCAAAACCCCCCGAGTGCTTGGTGGAGCCAGCACTGACAGAGCTAAGAAATCCACATGTATCTAAAAGTACTAAAAGTTTGACTCAAACATATCCAGGTGTAGATACTATGCTGCTTTTCATTTCCAGTGTGGTAACAGCAGATTAAATATTTTTATCTTTTTTTTTTTTTTTCCCCCACCACCAGATGTGTCATTTGTATGATGGACTTTGTTTATGGGGACCCTATCCGATTTCTGCCGTGCATGCACATTTACCACCTGGACTGTATAGATGACTGGTTGATGAGATCCTTTACCTGTCCATCCTGCATGGAGCCAGTGGATGCAGCACTGCTTTCATCATATGAGACTAACTGAGCCAGGGTTTCTCCACTGAACCTTTGAGGAGACCATCCACGTTAATGGGTTTGATCCTTTTGTCATTCAGCCCAAAGAGCCAGGAATTAGGAATTAAGATCGTGCACAAAGTATACATTTCCTAATAAATAAATAAAAAAATATTCCTGAATGGCTGCAAATATTGGGAAAAAACATAGTATTTTAGAGACTATAGAAAAGTAGGTTGTTATTTTTAATGTAAAGCCTTGACCCACCATTGTCTTTTAATGTTTGTTCTTACACCCATATATAGGAATTGTGTAAAGTGTTACAGCAACTGTAAATGTTTAAACTGCGTGTATCCAATTTTATTAGCAGCAAGATAAGAGTATTTTTTTCCTAAATAAAGTAACCAGTTTTGTTCTGATTCTTTTCACAAGTCCTGGCATTTGGGTCAAGGCTTTATTGAAATCTACATTTTATAACACTGGCACAAAGAAATAGTTTTAAGCTTGTTTGCACAGTTCTTTTTCTTTTTTTTTTTTTTTTTTTCCATTGGAGATGGAATTCATTGCCTTAGGTCTTTTTAATAGTGTATTGTTATTGTTGGGCTGGCTCTATGCTTGAAAACCAGTTTATTTATAACCTGTTAAAAGTGCTATATTTTGTTTGCAGTTAGGAATATACAGACTTCAAAGTGATCTCCTAGCTTGTAAGCAAACTGAGATGCATTATCCCTTTTCTACAAGTGATGCGGAATATGAAGATATGAAACAAGTCCTGCAGTGAAATTATGGTTTCATGTTTTTTATAACTTGCTTCGGTTTTGATGAAACAACAGTCCTTACACTTTACTATGTCACCTTTAACTCCATCAGGTTAAAAGTGGGCCAGACGGACAATAAATAGTTAAGCTGCCATGACTGAAAAAAAATATTTGGAACTAATGTAGTGTTAGTGTTGATCACTTATTCTACTCTTTTCTCCCTGAGAATGGTTGTCTTGGATCATAGCAAATGGATATTGCATCTCTCATTCTTGTAGTTTTTAGGTTATCAGAAGTTAAGAATAAACATACTGTATCTCAGTCTCCTGTATTAAATGTATCTGTTGAGCCCTGCTGGTTGACACATCAGTCCACCAAACAGATATGAAATCAGATATGAGAAAAATATATTTTGTTCTGCATGTAAATTCAAAGTTTATAAACACAGACTGTCATACTAGCAGTTGAGGGGGAAAACAGTAGTGCTATAGCCAGAACGACACAGCTAGCTAATTTCTGTAGCAAACAGTATGTGCTTGTTAGGAGATGGTCTAGCAAAGATGTAGCTGTGAAGACCTTTTATCTACTTAGCATGTTTTTCTTTCTGTTTTTCTCCCCCCTCGATGTACTGCGACTTTTTCAACACAGTGCTGATGATACATTGAGAAAGTCCTGGTCTTGCAGAATGAGATGCAATCTCAAGTCAGCCACAACACATCAAGGAATGTTCTTGATTGTTTTTCATATATAGTTTGAGTACTTGATACAACAGGTTGTGTTTAAAGACCCACATACTTTGAAGACTTAGGGTATTTACAGTATAGAAGAATTGTGCATGTTGTGGATAATTTTTGAAGGGTTGGTCAGCAAAATGTAGAATCACCATGTTGATTTATTTATTATTGCTGCAACTGACAGCAACCTCCTCTCTTGGAGAAGAACTCCCAATAGCAGTCAAAAGGAACTGAAAGCAGTCTGCAGTTCTAGATTCACTCAAAATGGCTACACATTTATCTGGACACAATTTTTTGCTGAATTCATACATACCTAATTACATGGATCAAAATCTGGGAAGAGAGACCTGAAGTTGTGCAATATCATTGTTCCTTTTCATCATTCCATGTGTGTTCTTTTGTGTCCTCCTTTTTTGTCTTGTTTGTTTTGGGGATTTGGTTTATCCTTTTTTTTTTTTTGGTAAAACAATGTCCACGTTAAGTATTAATTTCTTGTTATAACTGGCAAATGAACAATTTCAAAAAACAGCATTGTCATGTTGGTATTAGTCTTTATTTATTACAAGACTTAAGAAACATCTGAAAGAAATATGAAGTGACCGATTACTGAGCTGAATGCTTTTCTAGGCACTTTGTACAGCTGAACTTTTAACACTGATTGAGATACTTACTGGGCTAAGAGAAAAAATTACTTTTATTAAAATACTTGTTAAATAGCGAAAAGGTGGGAAGGGCTAAAACTAGAGTTGAATACACAAAACCATGCCAAAAAGTTAAAATTTTAGCTTAAAGACAAATGTGTAAATATAACAAATAAATCAAATGATTTTTTCAAGTTTTTAGGTGCAATGCTGTTCTGGATGATTTCTAATTCAAAAAAAAAATTGATCTGACCTTAATGCAAAACAACGTGTAACCTGAATTTTAGCAAGAGTTGTGAAACCAGATCTGTGTCTTAATTCTACCATCTGTAAGATGAAGAGAATATTTGCCTCCTGTCTCAGAGGTGTCTAATAAATTATCATATTAGACAGTCCATTTACAGCACAGCTGTTTCCTAACCTGAGTCTGCTGCAGCTCTTGCTCACTGGGACTTGTTCACCCCTAGCCCTTGTTTCATAGTAAAATGCCTGCAAAGCAATTTTTGAAGAAAAAAAAAATTCTTACAGCTACTCTAAGTAACCAAGTTTGTAAGTGCATCAACAGTCATCAAAACATGTTGCTTTAAAGCATTTTGTAAGGACTACACAGGATGATGAAAACATTCAGTGCAACAACGCTCTTTGTACTGTAGAAGGCACAGACCCAGAAATAGCTCATCAAGCTCAATCCTCTGCAGTTTCAGGCAGCAGCACTAGAGAGGGTGAGTGTGAAAGTCCCCACACCTCATCAGTGCCAGACACTGCTGCCTCTCCTAGCAACTGCCATCCCATTAAAAGACACAGAGTTGCCCCAGAAGTGCCACAGAAAGAGCGCAGGTAGGGACCAAGGGCATGGCTGACATCCGAGATGCTTGTACAGCCAGGGAAATTGTTTGGTTACAGCTGCAGATTATAGTAGAAAATGGCTTTTGTCTCATAGAGCACAAGAAAGATTTCCCACAAATCTTAGGTAAAAGAGATGCAATAACAAGTAACGAATACTCAATTTTATAAAGATGTTTATGCTTAATCCTTGCATGCGAGTGGAATTACCACTTCAATCATTTTACATCTAAGGATGATAATCCTTATTACTTGTTGCCAGTTCATTATGTAAATCCGGGAGAGAATCAGAAAATTTGTATGTAAACAAAAAAAAAGCCCACAGAATTTCTTTGTGAGGACCTAGTGTTCTAGAAGAGCCCTAACCACAAAGGTTTTTAAAAGGTCCTACTGTCTTGCAGCTTCCCAGGGCTGAAAGCAATTACGTGTTTGGAAGGCTGACAGTCCTCTCTTTGCAGGGGCAGAAGCGTACGTTTCTAGGCTAAGGGATTATGAAATACCTGAACTTACTTAAGTTGCCACAGTTTCAAGACTTCGACATTTCCTGTCCTTGTGCAATCGTGGTAAGGATGAAAATTCTTCTGAGTCAGACTGACAGTTAAATAAATAACAAGATGGCTGAAACCAAACATACAAGGCCTCTCATCAGTTAAATCCTGGATTAAAATGGATTTAGAAACAAAGTGGATGCTAGTTGATTACAAATACAGTTTATTACAGACACCACATTTTTATTAAAAACATAACATACTAGTTGATAACCTATAAAAAACATGAATAAAATCTGTCCAGAAGAACCCTTCTTGACTTAATACCCAGATTAAAAATTAGCTTCAAAGATTAAGTTGTCATTTTATATAGCATTTAATTTTGAAGAATATAATTTATGCTAACCGTCCTTTGCAGATTATCTTACATTTAAACCTGTTCCGGGGTAAGAGTTAGGGGCTTTGGAATTTTTGGTGTGAAATGCAAAGTTAATGCCTTTTGATGAAAAGAACAGTCTAAACACACTCCAAAAACATCTTTTTGATTTAAGCAGAAGAAATAACTATTTGCATGCTAGCAACTGATGTATTAGAATATCAGCTCTGCACTGACACTTAGCTAAGTAAAAGCTGCAGAGAGTAATCTGTAATGGAAAAAAAAAACCTTGTGAAAATGCCTGTACGTGTTTCTAACAGTGCACAGGTATGTACTTCAGAGGGGACCAACCACACTACAAACAAAGAAAAAGCCCCCAAACCACCTCTGTTCTCTTCAGTTGGAAAAAAAGTAGCAATAACTTGATAAACCTATTCTTTGCAGCACCAACCTCTGGAAAACACTTGTCTTTATTTTAAATAAGGCATTTCAACAACTGCACGCAACAGTAGATGTTCGATTCACTGCACATACTACGTGTGCCCTGGCTGTCCACACCAGGCATTTTTCCTGGACACAACAGGCCCTGCTTTTGCTCACTACAGTCACTTTTGCCAGGGTTCTCACTGCAAACAGACGGACAAGCTGCCTTTTTAGTCTCTTTTTTTCCTGCCCTCTCCCACATTAGTGGTAGCTGCCTGTCTAATCAAGAATTCACACTGAGCAGATTGAGACAGACAAGGTAGAATTTCAAGGAGAACAAGATTACTCACTCCAAAACTTTTTCTGAGCAGGACGGTGCCATCCAAGGCACTGTCCCACTGAGGCAGAGCTCTGCTATTCCAGAGTAAAAACTGTCTGATGCCCTTGACCTCTCCAGCCTAGAACTGCTTTTTGGTGAGGTTACCTCATTGAAGGGCTCTTGCTACATTGCCTGTTTGGGCACTTCTTGTAGAAGGCTATGTACTGCACACCCTCTTTCCTTTATGATCCCATAGCAAACCATTACTAAGGGCCCTTAACCTCCCTCCCTTTTCCTCAGCCATCATCTGAAAATGTGTCAAAGGTTTTTTTTTTCTAAAAAAAGGTTTGTTTGTATTTTTGAATTTAATTTTTGAATTTAATAATTCAAACAATTCTGGTAACTTTTCAAAAAGATTTGGCTACAGAGCCTGCTAACGGGTGTCAGTATACATATGTATATCTCTATATACTTTTTAATATATATGTGTGTGTGTGACAGATCACACACTTTAAATAAACATGTAGCAAAGGCACTAAGCATGAGATTCCTGCAGTTCCTGTGAAATACCAAGAATTATTTGCATCAGCAATGAGCCCAGCATCACAGAACAGAAACCTGACCCAGGTATCCACGAGCTGTAAGAACGAAAGCCAAAGCAAATTTTTCACAGAGAGCAATCAGCCACTGGAATAATCTCCCTGGGGATGTGGTGGATCCCCCAGCTTTTAAGGTTCAGGGGGACAGCATGCTGGGCCATCTTGTCTACACTGCGTTTTTGTCAAAGGTTGGGCCAGATGATCCTTGAGGTGCCTTCCAACCTGGTATTCTGTGGTTCTGTGACTGAAATACCAGAAGTGCAAGTGGCCCTGCTGGTTGCTTCTAAAAACACTTTGCAGCTGCCCAACGGAGGCTGTGTAACCTTGGTAGTGATGACAGCAGTACTGTACCCAGATGAAGATGACATTGAACATGATCCATATACTGTATCTTCTAAACGATATTGCTTCACCTCCCTAGAATGATTTACTGAACGCTGCAAACTGTCAGAGTTACTATTCTGCATCTTTGTGTAGCAGGAGCAGAGGCACTCTTCAGGCATCTCACACCGCCACCTGTACCAAAACACCATGAAAATCACCACATTCACAAACCACCAGCTCACCCAAGAACTACACCTACACTATCAACACCAAGCGCAGCCCCCGTGGCTCCAGCACTGCAGACAAACATCCTACACAGCTCCTGCACCAAGGAAGTCGTTTCCTACCTCCACAGAATAAAAGGAACACCGAGAGATGAAAACTGTCCAGAATTCTGCAGCTTCTACTTCTTTTTCTCACCACATTGCTACATTGCTTTTCAGCCACAGACCTGAAACTGTTGTACAATACTGAGACTATTAGAAATAAACTTTTTTTTCCCCCTTTTTTGAATTGAATCAGCCCATAACGAGAGTGTGTGTGGGGGTGTGTGTGTGCAACTGCTCTGTTTTGTATTCTTTCTGTAAAATAGTCAAGGAGAGATAAAGCAAGTAGAATTCAATGCAATGCATAATTCTAAATAAACATTCTGCCTATGTTTAGCCAGCAATGAAAGTAAGTAGGTCCAGAGATGTAAAAAACCCTGAAAATAATGGAACACAGCCCAGTCCTACAAAAACATTGTTGAATTTGGAGCAAACACCGTGAAGAACTTTACCACAGTGCAATGCAGATATTTATTAGCTCTGTTGCTCTTCATAAATCTTGGAGACGGGGATTGACTGAGCATGCTTTTGAAATAAGGTATTTGTATTTATATAATTTTTAGAAACACCTGTAGCAAACCTAGATAACATCTTTAAAAAAATATTTTGTGATGACAAATCATTCAGTTAAAATACCTGCATTTCACGCTTTGCATATAATCTATTACAAAAAGGTATCTGCAGAACATAATGAGAAAAGAAGCGACCTCATTTCTAGTCTGTTCAGGTTTTCCAATCTCATTCATCAGTGACGTTTCCAACCAGTAACCATTTTCCTGTACAGCAGTAAACAACATGACTCACCTCTTTATCTTCTCCTCTTCCTCCCAGAGGGGGGAACTGTGTGGAATGCATTGTTTTGGTCATTTCATATACATTTGCTTTGCCGCTGTGTTTTTGTGCATGAGAAGGCAAAGAAACACATCTCACAGGTAGAACTGGAGGCCAAGAATCTTGTTTTTAAACTCTTGGCCAAGAGAGGCTTTTGCAGTCTGGGACTGACCTCTGGGAAAGCCTTGTCTCACACAGAGGGGCATTACTTGATGCTTCTCTTGGGCCAGAGGCACGCAAGCTGTCACAGCTATCATTCCCATGAGCTTTTAGTAGTCTTGGACCCAGGCCACAGATAAACCAAAAATACTAAGGCACTCAACTTCATATAGAATTTAATGCCAAAACCAGTGTGAAATGGGAGCAAATGTTTGATATGATCCGGTTCTATACTGCTGTATTTTCTCATAGGCAAAGTTTCCTAAGCCAAGTTTTGAATGCTGTATCACTGCAGTGTAAACAACCTGAGGCGAGGCACTGTCAGGATGGGGCAGTCTTTAAACCAGCCACAACAGAACACGTTAATTGCAGATGGTAATAGAACTGCGTATCAGTAATAAATCAAAGCATGTTCCTATGCTAGCTTAGTTGAGCAATCCTAAGTGGGTGTCTCCAAATAATAGTAGCTGTATTATGTTTGTGACTTCATCAAAATCTTTTGATCATCAGGAAAACCTGTGACTAGGTTCAGCTTCAGCCCATCGTTCTTCCCCCACCAGGTTATCTCACCTGGTGTTATTTATAGGAGCTAGGTGTTGAGGTAATTACACCTCGTTAGACCTCAGTATAAGCTGCTGGCTTTTCAGCCCATATCCTCCCTTCAGTTTAATGAGAGACCACACATACAGGGATTCCCCATATCAGATCTAACAATAAAAGTGATGCTCATTTTACTGTTTTTCCCCTCCTGGCCACTACCACTTTCAGATGACACAGTGATATCACATGGGGCACCATGGCAATTGCTGAAGACATTCAGGAAACTGAGCATGAATTTCTACCCCTCCTCAGCTACTGACAGGAAACCCCTCATCAGTGATACTAAAAAAAAATACATAGGAATACAGTTTATAAGTTTTATGATAAAGGTCCTACCAAGTGTAGAAAACTATTTTCTGCTATACGAGTTAGTAGTTTGCCTTTGGTTAACTTCTCTGGCTTTGCTGAGGACTGAGAAGAGTTGATACCAGCAATTACTGGCTAAAGCCTAGTGACCAGAGTGAGTTTCTCTAGCATTTAGACCATTCAGTGTTTGCAAGCAGAAGGAAGTCCTCCTTCGCAAATGAGGTCTTGACTATATCCATCTGAAGTAGTACTTAGTTTCTTGAATCTTAGGTCATGCTGAAAATCCTTGATTTGTGATTCCATTAGAGTATCTGCTATTTTCTAGTAGGTGAATGTACTGAACACTGAAGCTGTCTGAACTCACACCAGTTGTACTTTCCCTAATTCATTGTACTGGGGCCTCCAGACTGATGAAGCAATTTACCATTCTGGAGAGCTGCTTCAGGCAGAATGGAGCAGCTTCAGGAGAGGCCATGGAAAAAAAATCCCAGCGTAGACCTTCCAGCCCAGACTGACACCACTGAGTTGTCTTATCCCTGCCACAGAAGAGCACCACAGTGAAGTATGTTGATGACAAAGAGTAATGGTAGGCAATTAAAAATGTAACACACTGAAAAACATATGCAGTTACAGCACCAGACCTTCCATTCATCCTTTAGCAAGCAAGGTGTTATTTTCCTCTAGAGTTCAGAATATTGCAGTCTGTAAATCTTTGTTGTTGCATCAGAAAGGTGAATATTTCCTATTGGTTGGGAGCTGAAAAGTCAACATGAAAGCACAGACTACTTGATCATGGCTAACTACAAAAGCCTTCAGCTGAAGCTGGAGATCAGGTCCACAATATGACTGGTGTTTGTGCTCGACCAAAGACAACTAGGAAAATCTTTGGATTTTCATTGCTGCAAAGAATCAGGGAAGTTAACTGCATACTGCACAGTATGTCCTTTGTGCAATGTATCCAAGATCAGGCGAAACTTGGTTGTGGGTGAAATTTCAAAGAGCGTTTCAGTGGCCTTGAGAGATGAATCTACAGATGGAAGGATTGTTCACTTTCTGCAAAGTACAATTTATGCTAATTTTCATAGCATTGCTTGCTTAAAAAAATGCTAAGACTGCCAAAATATTTGAAAAGGACACAACTGGAAGAAGAGGCGTTATATGCATGAAGTAGAACAAGAATTTTTTTTATTCTATACAAAGAATGACTGAATTTTTACACTTAAGTTTTGATGTGCAATATGTAAATAGCATAATTGTTTATATTGAATTTTATCTGAATTGAGAAATTTATCTGAACTGAATTTATCTGAGAAAGTCACTTTAAAAAACCACATTCTTCATGTATGATTTTAACTTGGGAAGACTTTTATAAAGGGTGTCTATTTTTAAGACAATGCAAGTTCTCCATGTTGAGGAATAGGTGGTTCTGTCTTCTTGCATATTAATCTGCAATTATAAAACAATGTAATTTCCTTAGAGGAGGTAAAAGCAGAGCTATAAACTGTCAATTTTCTCTTCTGCTGGGAACAATCACTTTAGAAAGAATATTCACTGTGAGGTACATAGATATGAATCTTCCTGACAAACATCTCCATTGGAGAAAAAGGGCTGTCAGAAGACCTCCCATCTCCACATACCAGAATGGGTCATGGGGAAGAAATTCTTTCAGAAGGGAGGTAGAAGTGTGCCCCAAAAACCCACAGGCATACAAACATGGAGCTAGCCTGGAGAACAGTAAATATGAGTCAAATATGTGTTACATCTGACTACACCAGTTTTGCAGAAAAGCAGCATTCTATGGCAGACAGCACTGGAAAGCAGACATAGCTCTGCTCTATTCTCAAAGCCCCTTACACAGAAATTCCCCCAGAAGATCAATAAAGAGCAAAAAGAACGGGCTCTCCTTTGTGAAAAGCAAAGCACTGTGCCAAGGGAGCCTACTCCAACCTTCTTAACGCAGGAAACGTTGCCATACAATCTCCTTAAACATGGACATCTCAAGTTAGGCAAACCTAAGAACAAACGTTTTAAACTGCAACTGACTATCACAGTAACTCCTGTACTGCTGTGCAAACAGTGCAACTTTGCTGTTTCTTAAGTGACTCTCAAGGACTTGTGCTTTAAATTCGATATAAACTTCAGATCATGTTTGTTCTGATGAAAAAACTTGTTTCCTAAGGTCCTCCCATTTGTAAACTTGTCAAAGAAGAAGTGATGCAGCTTTATACTGTCATCACCTTCCCCCCTCCAAATCCTTGGTAAATCATTCAACCAAATACAAGCAGCAGACTTGACATGAAAACCAAATTAAAAAGTCAAGATACTTGCATAAGGGAGACCATTTGTTTCCACCAGCAAGTTTCCTACAGAAGCAAAAATGTGACTAGTAAAAGCTGGTAAACAGAAGCTTTCCATGCACAACTAGACACACCCAGGATTCAGAGCTCTTCCCTGCTGTGTTTCTTGTGCACCAAGATTTTCTCACACCATTTCAACTAAATAGGTGCTTGGAAAAAGTGATGCTTCCTTCTCAACTGCTAGCAGTATGAATTCAAACAAACATTTATAGCTGAGATTAAATCTGTGAATCTTTAAAGTTCTGTTGTTGTGTTTTTTTGCAGTTGTTCCTCTTTATGTTGTAGCTTGCCTAGTAAATGTTGTGAAAGCAAGAAAGGCACACATGATTGAAAAATGAATTACACAGATGTAAGTATTCCAAAAGCTACTGTTGGAAAAACAATATTTTCAGGGTTATGGTTGGTTTGAGAGGGTTTTTTTTTTGCCATGTTATTACATTAGATTAACGTCTTAAGCATCACCTTTAAAATTTTAAATGATTTGGTTTCTCACTGACTTGAAAGAGAAGGAAAAATAATTCTAAAATGTCAGTAATTCTCTGCACCAAAGTTTGCAACAAACAGGACATCAAAGAAGAAAAAGTTACGACACTGCCGAGGCTCCAGAGTGCATTCCATTTTCTGGGGTGGATTTGGCTTGGTGCAGGGCAGCTTGAATTCTGAAATGTGTTCTTGTTTCCATGGAGTAATTCTTGTAGTTTTGTCTAAAACAAAAGCAGATCCACTCTGATGAATATATATATTTTTAAAACATTTTCAAGTTATCTTTATATTTATTGTTCTAAGCAAAACAACTGTAGACAGCAAAAAAGCCTTTCTTCACAAGCTCCTTTGTTGCCTACTCTAAAATACAAGGCATGTGTTCCTAGCCAAACAGTGCAGCTCTTTGTTCTTTATTTATAGTCCACTGTCTGGAAATTACTAGAAAAATATAGCTTAATAAGAAAATGAATCTGGTCCATTCCGTCAAGATACTGAGTCTATATTAAATATCTATAACATCCACTTAGTTTACATTCAGAAATTAGATTCCCTCCTCCATAGTATAATTGACAAATTTGAGTAGAAACATTTTCAGGATTTTAAAAAATAATTTTTTTAAGATAGACTCAATTCAGCACACACATTTCAAGGAAGTAGAGAAGAGGAAGAAAAAATAAAGAAAAGGAAAAAACCAAAGAAAGAAAGAGAGAAAGAAGCTGTCCTGAATCAGAAGAGGGAAACACCCCATCTCCATCCTATGGTTATCAACAGTGTGTACTGCGTGTAGGATATAAGGTGAGACAATTTGCTGCCCTAGAAGCTTGGAAAGAGAAAATGGGCACAGATGAGACTCCGTATCAGCTTCTGAGGAACAATTCCAAGGGCAAGATTAGCAGGACTTCCCCCACAAACTCAGCAGTGTCATCTGCCTATAGTCTCCAGTAGTTATATCATCCTCTAAAGAGTTACAGAAACATTAAAAGAATCTGTATTTTCATGGAAAAGCTTATATAGAAAAGAAAATTTGCCCCTAGGACCACATAGAAAGTGCAGATCCTACTTAATAGTAATCAACATGTCAGCTCCTGCAGGGTGGATGCAGAATCCAGATACCAAAGAGGATTAGACCATGCTAATTTTTCTGTAGAAGATACTTGTCATCTTTACAGAAACATGAAATATTAAACAGTCTGTATACCTTAAAAGCATTTCAGTTCAAAATTCGTAACTCAAATCAAGCATGGAAGCATATTATCTGTCACTACGGCAGTCTCTTTGTAAAAGCAAGGAATTCCACACCCATCCTAGACCAGCTTATAATTTTACATATGCCACACTCAAGAGGCTGACTGAGAAAAGGAGGTGACTGGGTTCTGCTGTATGCTGATCTGAAACTCTTTGGAGTGTTTTCTTTAAATTAAATAGATTTTGTCAGGCAGATACTGTATGTCTCATCAGTAGGATGATATTCTTGCTTGTAGCTTACAGTCATACAAATAGAAATAGAAACATTTCCATGCAGGACCAAGCCAAAACTGTTTATCATGTCATTCAACTCTATCTCCCAGGGCTGAAACATTCAAGCCAGCAGCAGTATGTGGATTTAGGTCAAGCAAATCAAGCGTCATGCACAAGCCAAGTGCTCGTCTGCACTCCTGCCAATTGCAAACAGAATTCTGCAGTCCACCATGGACAACGCGTTCTTCCCTCTAGTGGTAGCAAAGGCATTCAACGTTTTCAGCTGAAAGCTTATAAACCCTGAGCATTTTAATGTAGCCTAACAGCTACGGGTGGAAATTTAAGGACTGCACTTTTTTTTTTGACGGTCTGAAACAAGTCGGGGTTTTGTGCTGGGTTTTTTGGTTTTGCATATCATCACAGTTTCTATGAGTTCTTCGAGCAAAGCAGGTCAGAGTATTAGCTTTTCATATGCTGGGTAACCACAAATTTTTAAGAGCTGCTGTCTGCTAGTTTTCTTTGAGGGGGCCTGCAACCTGAGCCACACAGAGCTGTAGGGGGAGAGGTGCAATGGCTGAGCAGCAGGCGATACAAGTACCAGACGAAATGAGAAGCTCTGAATCATTAATTTCTAGATCTCTTCTTAAGAGAGATTTGAACAAAGGAAACGAGGACTGGAGGAGAGAAGTGCTTTGAGGAATGTGAAACCAATTCAAACACTTTCCATTGCGTTTTGCTCATGCAATTTTTGCTCTTCTTACTATCTTCCATGAGTACAGGAACCAGCCTCATAGGCACAGGAGAGTAAGAACTGCAATATTTTCATATTTGTGTTGACATGCTTTTGGCATAGTCTTCGGTAGGCTGATTCACCACTCTGTCTTGCATAGTGGGCTGACCTGGACAAAAGCTCAACACAAAAACTATCTGACCTCTCTGAAACTTGGGGCCAGACACCAGTTTTGTAGCTGCTCACACTGGCGGCAGTGACTGGCGTGACTCTGCACTTGGAAAGATGCAGACACGGGGACTCATTCAGGATCCAGGCAGAGAGGTGAACTACCCTGCTGCAGGATGCTTGAAGAGGGCACAGGTTGTTTGGTTTGAATTTGTTGTTCCTACCCACCCAACCCCCCCACCCCCCAAGAAATCTTGGCTCAGTAAAGAAGTAAATGTTTGGACAGAGGCAAAACTCGTCCTTTGTTAATTTTACAATAGAGAACATACATGATCAAGTCCAACAACTGTTCCTGATAAACCTACTTTGCTAGAGAAATCAATCACACAGAATAGTAAAAGCTGCCTTTCAGGTGCAGATGAAACAACACAAAGATGCTAAATGCAACTGGACGCATTATCTTAAATGTATTTCATCAAGAAAACAGCACTGCCAGCCATCAGTTTCAGTAATGCCACTTCAGCCATAACTTAGAGCTTTGATTTAATTTAATACATCTTTTAAGAATAAATAAACAGACTATACACATTATTACATTTCGTTATACGTTAATTATTTCTTATGGAAGCCTTTGACATTCCTATTAACATCTTTAAATTATTTTTTTTGGCTCTTATCAGAATGGATGTGTAAGTCACAGACTGAACGATCAGATAATCTCCACCACTAGAAAGGTTCAAACCAAAACGAAGGCACGTGTGCTTCCTTTGTAAAAATTAAACAAATTTCTATGATATGAATGAAATGTTTCTGCTTCCTGCTACCAGTAAAACACCATACTGACCCATCAGACATCAGCACAGGCTTTTCACTTGCTTACTTTGCTCTTTCCAGTAGCTTTATTGCTTCCTGTCTTCTATCCTGGTCTAGATACAGTAGCGCCAGCTCCAGCAAGGCATTTGGAATTAGATAATGGTCATATTTTATCTTCTTCTCACTGCATTAGAAAAGAAATAGCCTCAAGATCTTGAAATGATACATTGCTTCCCTCATTTAACAGCTCCAAATAGAAATAAATAGGAGATTAGCTAAGATCAGAAGGAGTAATCAATCTCTACTATGACACTTGTCATGTTCTCTATTCAAAGCTACCTTCCAGGTTCTTAAAAGTTTATTTTCCATAACCATCCTACACAGCGTGTAATTTCTCAGGATTACAAAATATTGCCTTTATTATCAGGGAAGTATTAGAAAAGATTATAATATTATGAGCTCTGTGCATGTGAACCGACAGAAACAGATGCTGTTCATTCACTGCATGATGTATAGAAGTTACAAGTATAATCACACTGTTACCTCTCTCTGCATTTGGCTTTTCGGGTACAGCTTCCTCAACACTGGTAAGAGGAAGGCGCCAAAAAAAAGGGAAGTAGTATGTCAAAAATTTTATGCACCTGTAGTCCTCCAAAAAGGAAAAACTATCTCAGTAAAAAGTGCAGATTTGCAATTCTTCTTCCATACGTGCCTAACACCACCAGCAATTAAAATTGCAATTCCTGGATATCAAAGCAACTGAAATACACTGCAGTCCTCTCCCTTCTATTTCTATCATGGTTGCATCTCCTCTTACTTGAAACGAATAGTTACCAAGAAATTCAAGAGCTCTCCTACATGCCAGGTATGAAAACTTACTTTAAATAGATGTAATTAAAATGGTCTTCTGCTTCTGAGATCTTGCCCAAATGCTTGAGGCATAAGCCCTTTAACAGTTTTATCACGCACTGGTCATCTGCTAGTAATTCTGTAGCTGCAAGATGAAGTAAACAGCACATTTTAGAAAGCTCTAGAGCAGCAGAGACTTTCCTACCTGTAGGGAAACTTTTACACAGGTAGGTGTGTGCACAATCCATTCACTGGAACACAGGACAGAAGGAACTTACTGGTCAATTTAGTTCATTTAATGCAGAGACAAACACGCATCAACCTTTTCACAGATCAATCAAACTTTGTCTAAAAATTGCTGGGCTGTTCTTTCCCTCCCTACTCCCACTGAAAGGCTGTTCCACAGCCTTACTGTTCTGACACCTAAAAACTAACGTAAGGTGTCCACTTTGGATATATTGAGGTCCAATTTATAATCTCTTAATCTTATGGCTTTATTGCCCTTCAGTATGTACAATTATTGGCTTTCCTTGACTTCTAGTCACATGACTTACTGGTATGCAAGTGTGTTATCAATTCTCCACCTTTGTTTGGCTAAACAAATATATGCCAAACTTTTCTACCTGCACCTCACATCCCCTCACCTTCCTACCATACCTTCTCTTCACCTCTTTTGAGTTTATACTTCTAATTATGAATGCCCCGGGTCTTACCAGTGCCTAGTTCTAAGTCATTACTATTAACACCCTTTCTCCATCAGAAAATTTTTGCATACTACATTTCAAAGAAAACATCTGGCTTTTTCATGGCTGTTCCATATAGGCAGCTTAAAGTTTACAAGCAAAATCTTCAGCTTGCTTGTTCATTTCCAATTCATGAAATACTAACTAAAAAGGATTTCTGCAAAATGTGTGATATTGCTTCTCGTGCTATTGAATGTCACCCTCTTTTCACCACTCCAAACTTTATCAAGTTCTTCCTCTATTAGGCCAGCTGATTAAATGCTGACATACTGCATGAAACAGCTGCTTCCCTTTGGACTATGCAGTTGGAGGCCTTGATCCTACAAGTGGAGTCACTTTTATTGCTATGTCCCACAGAGGCCCCTACATACATACGTCACCAAAGCAAATCCCAGAGAAGATGCCCACAGACTATGCAGCAAACTAACTTAGAAGGAACAGGGCAAAAATTGACACACTAAGTACGTGCACAGTGAGATGACTCAGGGCCACAGAAGAGTTATTACATAAGAATAAAAAAAAAACCCAGATCAGTTTTCTCTTCTGGGCATCTGTCCCAAGAACACGTTCACACACATGTATTTCCTCTATTTATAACATATCCTACAGACTGCTCTGCACTGTATAAGCAAACATTTAGGGACCTATCCTGACGCAAATCTGATAGGCATAATTGTATTTCTAGATGTTATTAGTATATTATATTATAAAGCAATGCTAGGAGAGCATCCTCAGATTCATAATTTTACAGTGTTAGATTCCTGAATCTAAGTATTGAAAATAAAATAGTTTAGCCCCAAACACTGTCAGGAAAGCTCAAGGAAAGTGTGACACCTGGAAACAGCATGTGACTATTTGGAACAGGTAATACTTTAAATTGTTGGTGTGTTTAAAATATATCCTCCTTTTCAATTACATGTCCTCACAGTGTTTTATAAACATGAATCAGATTCTACAAATCCCTCCAAAAAGCCAGCCTTATCCACAACTTACCAACTAAGAAAGAAAGGGAACAGAGAAATAATTCACTTATTCAAAATAATTTAACAAAATGTGTGACAGAGAAGGTGAAAGGGTCAAAAGCCTTATTCTAAGATGTCGCACTCAGTGAAAATATTTTTCTGTTATCTTTTACAGTTAATTAAAAAGGAGATAGCTTTAGCTAGTCTTTCAAGCAGCTCTTCAAATCTTGTGTAACACAATGTGCACAGGAAGACCAACATCCTAGAAAAGACTGCAATGCAGTGATTTAGCCCATATTCCTTTGTCAACAGGGGCTTGATCCTTTTGCAGGAAGGTAGTATGTAATTAGAAGGTCAAATATTTAGTAAGGGAAAACTTTGTGAGAAAAGCTGCGCAGACTGCTTGCACTCCCACAGGAGTTGGGAAAGACTGGCAAGAAACAAACATCAATTCAACTTTCTCATGGATGGTTAATTAACAGACTGACAGAAGATGTGGTAGCAGAGCCTGTTCCAGTTCAATGCGATCTTACGCTCATTTACAGTGCAAAGGAAGCCCGTGTCTGATGTCCCAGCTTTCTGTAGCATACTGTTGACACACAAATACCATTCGGCCCAAGGTCACATCATAAACTGACAGCACTTTTAAAACAGAAGACCGACTTGTCTCCTTCTATTTGTCCTTCAAAATTGAAATACAGTATCTGAGGATGACAAAGCTTCCTGATCCAAGTAATCAAATCAATGCATATGCTGATTTTGATCTAGCAAAATAAACAGTCCTCTAATACATGTTATAAACTATTCCTAATACACATCTGTGGATGGAAAACCACTTGCTACTATTGTAAGTTATTGCTGTATTAAAAAGGAAAAGTATTCCTATCTGCATCAACAGTTTATGGTTTCATTATCTAGGTTCCTACTATGATCAGATTAAGTTTACTAATGAGCGTCTCTATTCACAGATAATATCTTTAGCTATTGCACTGTAAAATACCTGTTTAAATCATATCACTGATTACCTGAACTTCTTGCCAATGCTTCTTCTGCTTCAATTAAAGTCTCTAACATGCCTTCTGTTAAGTTGGGACATTTTCCAATTACAGCATACCCGTTCCAGATATACATCATTTCCTAGGGTCAGGGAGAAATGACAGCATCATTAATTACAATACTGGATAAATGCAATACTTTAGAGTATTGCTGTACGATGAAAAAGTTACAGATTCCTTAAATAAATAATCAGTTTGTGAAAACTTATTTTCATTGCAACTGAAAACTTGTTACATTGGTTTTCAGAACAAATTAGTCCTGGAAGACAAGCAAAGAGCCATTTGCTACACACAATGCATGGAGGATTGCTTGAACAGAATGCAAACACAATCTCACTTATAGATGAAAACAAGTACCAATAAAACAGACATAAAACATTCATTGCACATGGGTAACTGTCCCTTGATTAAGGTCTCCTCTTGTTTTATCCTAGCCAGGGCAGTAATAACTACAAACATCTACAATGTATTGATTTCATACAAAAAATACGAAATCTCAGGACAGCAAAACAAAAAGAAAACCAAACCTCCTAACCTTTAAACCAAGCTTCAAACCAACCAACAGAATCTTAGAGCTGAACTATAAACCCTTTAAATTCTTCAGGTTTGTTTGATATTCCCAACAAAAGTAACTTATTTCTTATTCAACTGTTCTTAAGAGTAAATTTTATCAAAAACTGCTGGTTTAATTCCTTTTATTATTTGGGTTCTCTCTTCTATCACCAGACAAATGGGCCCATTGCCACTAGCAATCACAAAGTTAAAGATGGAAATACTGTACAGACTTAAGACTAGTCCTCATGACACATTATTTATTTTTATGACCTAGTCTGTACTTGATAAATCAAAACTTTTCGATAAAGTTTCTGTACAGAGTAACTGAGTTCTGGAACTATAATACAAAAAGCTGTCAGGCTAGAATAGATGAAACAGCACGTTAACCCTAGTCGATGTTGCTTTCCACCATCTGGTCTCTACTGATTGGAAAACCTGTGCTGAACTTACTGTATTTAATGCAGATTTGTTAACATGGGTTTGAAACTGAAGTATTCAAACTACATTTATTCTAGGCTAAACCTCTGAGCTAAGACTTCCTTCAGGACTCGCTCCTCTCAGCAAGTCCCTTCACGGTGAAATGAAAAATCCTAGAGATGAGATGCTGCTCCCAATTTCACATCTTCAGAGTGCTTTTAACTGTTCAGCTGCGGCATCTGCTGCCTCAGAAATGCAACTGCAGCAGAAACAAAGGGCGCAGTGCCCGGCCACTCCAAGAAGAGTTCTGCCTAGAGAAACCTGTTCTGCTAAAATCCCATTAAAATAGCCCAGCCAAACCCCAGGTGTGCACGTTTCTTATTCTCTACAATGTCTGAAACCTGAAAGGCAAATCAAAGTAACCTAATTATTTCTCTCATTTCAGTCTTAAGACTCAGTGGAAAGTGGTCCCTAGAGATTACTCACGCTATGCTGTAACAACTATATTCCTTCAGGAAGCACTGTGTCACATACCCAGCTGGTGGGCTGAGAAATGACTACTCACTGGTGTCTCCAAGAGGCTTTCCTTATTCAGATATTTTCTTAAAGAGTATTTACTAATTATCCATCTGTTTCTCAAACATAACAGCTCAAAGCACTGCAGATATTAACATCACTGCACTTGGCAAACGTGTGGACTTCAAATCCTTTTATGTTCTTTTACATGTTCTTCACAAACAGGTTTTTTAAGTGCACCATGAGCATGGCAATGGGTGCCTTATGCAGCTCTTCTCATCTGGCCACAGGGAACTGGCCAGCATTACAGGTAAAAAGAAAAAAAAACAAGACAAACAGTATGCAATGGGTTTCTGGAGTGGCTACAGGATTCGGTTATTTCATCCCCACACCCATGAGTTGTTCTGGAGAGCACCAAATCGCAAACATTCAGGGGCACATTAAATAGCTGCTTACATGCAGTCCCCAATTCCTGTGTTGTTTCCTCCCCCCCCCTGTAACTTGTATCTAAAAGTCTTCTTTTAGTAGTGCCAGTAAATGACACATGACAGAAGAGACCTAGGGCAAAGTTCCTCAAAAGGGAATCAAAAGAAAGCTGTTAGGAGCATGCTAGTCTATTGCTGGAATAATGAATTACACATGCAACACAGTTACGTGTCACAAACAACTGGTTTAGTTCCCTGTGGCTGGTGCATGCCCCAGTTTTACAGCATTCCTCGCATTCATTTGGCTTTGCTTTGGGAACATTCCAGTCTCCTGCAGAGGTTTTACCTTAGAAACATGGAAAGATACTATACTAATTATCTTGGTTTTATTTCCATAAATTAAAAAAATGTTAAGGGAGGGGGAAATATTTCTAACTTACCAAAGGTGGAACAGGCAAAGGAATGGGGTTTGAAGAAAGATACCGTCGAGCTTTCCGAATTGCAAATTTTTCTGTAGGCAGAGATTTCCCTGCAATTTTCAGTTTCAAACTGGGAACAATCCTGAAAGTTTAAAGGAAAATGTAAGGAATTTTTCCTCTGTGAGCCTCTGGGAAAAAAACATTCAAACTTTTAAAAAAAAAAAAAATCAAACCAAAGGGAACTTTAAAAGCTGTTACACACTGAGCTATTGCTACCTCTGGGGAAGCTGAGCAACACATATTCACAAAAGCTGTCTTTATGCAGGGCACGTATATCTCTAGGCTTCCTCTTTAATCAAGCAGGAGGAAGAGGGACTCTTCCTCACCCAAAGAATAAATTAGATGATGCACCTAACTTTATGAAGGGCCCACCTCTGTTCACAGATGAAGAGACAAGCTAGCTTTTGTCAGTGCTGCTCACATTCTCCCAAAGACCAAACCTCTTCATTTCGTAATGGATCCCAAATCCAGTGAAATCTACTTGCAATGATTATATAAGATATGGAAAACCTGAGAAGTATCAATATATTATAAGCACATAAAAAAGTGATATTTTGATTTTATAGAAACTGTAAAAACCAAAGTAATCAATATTCTTTGCCCCAGCAACATTTAGGCATTTTTGGGCTTAAACATTACAGTCAGGTTAACTCACTGTGTTAATCATGCATATATTCACTTGGACGTTTAACTATTTCAGATTTCTCTTAGACTCAAAACCCAAGAATCAAGTTTGTACTGAAGTTTTCACTAAGGAGGCACACATCTTGTACCATAATCCATTGAAGGCTTTCATATCTTACATGCCATTTTGATTAAAGGAAATAACTGCAAAAGAATGTGAATATTACATGCTACAGCAGCAGCCACTGTATGGTGGCTGATAAACCTACTATCCTACTCCTAAAGTATTTCCAGGCCAGGAGAAATCTGTCTGAACTCAGCGTCCACTTTATTCTAAAGGAATGTTTCATTCTGCCATTTCTTACCAATCCAATGCTATTTGTGCAGATCTTCCAACTGCACAATGGGTAATTTTGCCTCTCTTCCACTAACACTGTGATGTGAAAAGATAAGAAACTGCTGTAACTGGGAATTAAGAAATTTTACCTAAATAATTCAACTTCACTGTCTCCAAAAGGACTGCAGTCATCTGGTCCAAACATACTGAGATAAGCAGCTTTCATGTAAATATAAGTAGCCTGTAAATGCAATCAAGAATATCTATATAAAAAAACGAATTTACAGCATTGCCATTATTGATATAAAGCACAAAACAGCAACAAAGAGGAAAGTTTCTGCTTCTGCCCACAAACAGATATAAATTTACAAAATTTCGAGCAAGAGATAAGTATTTTAGAAGTGGAATATAGAAATATTTTTTGTATTATGTATGACTGTTTACTTTGTATCAATTTATAGTTTATGTCCAAACTCTAGGAACAAATGTCATGCTTGTGTAAAGAAAATTTTTATTACTCTCAGGAATACATGCTAAAAAACTTATGAAAAGGTCATGCTCAGAGAAAAAAACATACTATATGTGTCCAATCATAACTTGGTAGTGTTATCTCAAATATTAAGTTCTAGAAAACAGTTTTTGAAGGGTTTCATGATTTCAGATTATGAAAAGTACCGATTTCATAGGGATTCCTGAGCAATGATACCTTCAGCAACCAAGGAAAGCAAAGCAGCAGAGGACATTACAATTCTTGCAACAGTAGAGAGTAATAGTTGCTGAGTTCCTGAGTGCTGCCTTAAGAAGTAACCATAAGTTGCAGGAGGTTTTTGGTAACATTTTAAGCTGTGATTATCTATTTACACAGGAATCTAACAGTGCATACATGTGACCATCTTTCATTCAGCTCATGTAGTTACTAGTTTGCTACTATCATGTTGCACCATAGGTAACACAGGAATAGGAAGCATCTCTGCTTCTCGAAGGTGCCAGCAATATATAGTGTAAAACTCCACACAGTTTAAAAGGATACATGTTAATATGAATTCTACAGCATTTCAGGATATTGAGGCTTTTAGCCAGGTGGTACACCCCTGACTGTAGGAGCTATTCAGATTAATGCACCCGGGCTGGAATCCCCAGGGGCACCAGGGTCCACCCTGCTGTTTTCACCTGAGTGTGAGCACTGAGATTTTCTCTCACCTGGTTGCTTGGACCTTATGTCAGTTTTGGTTCCACTTGGCTAATACATACAATGTGTAGTAGAAAAAGCAGACAGAGATACCCTCCCCACACACACAGTCAGATCACATTAAGAAGAAACAAAGCCTCCAATCAACTACATCCCTCAACCCCCAGGGCCAGACTTAATCCCATCTGACAGATTTCCCTGGGGCTCAGGGGAAGACTGGAAGGAGGAAAGCTACCAGGGTTCTGGATGGAAGAGCTTCTCCTTTTCTGACACAAGGCAAGGCGCCTCTTCTAATTATATTTGTTATCCTGGAGGCACCATCATGGCTAGCCTCACTCATCACCAAAAGAGCTTATATCCATAAGATAATGAAAGAAATGGCTACTTGCGCCACTAATTGCAATCTGTTGATGACACAATGAGTCAATACACCGCCAAACATCTTTAACAAAATCTGTTCTTCATCTACAAGTCAGGCCCAAAAGATTTCTGTTTGCCCACAATCTGTTCAGATTTGAGTGTCTGCAGTTCACATGGTTCTAAAAGAGCCACAGCAGATCACGTTTTGTTTTATAATCTTCATCTTCAAAGCTACAAAAGCTTCAAAGCTACAAAACACCAACTCAAGTTAATATATACTACAAGGGCCTCCTGCCCTCCTGTTCCACTTAACTTACCTTTGACCAAGTGTTTTCTTTGCTTAGCAGGTCTGCATAGAAGAAAGCCATCTTCCACTGGCGCTTGTAGGTGAAGCACCACATGAGCTCCCAGTAACACATGTGATGAAACTGCTTCCAATATTGCTGAGCCTCGCAACATTCTTCATACCTATTAACCGCCTGAACACAGAGATTTCCAAACACTGCCTTAATCATGTGTAAATGCACATATACCAGTGCTGTAAGCGACACTGGGGCTCCATGATCTGCCAGCATGGCTCCTGCAATTTCCAAATTATTAACAGCCCAGTATTCCCCAAAATCACATCTGTTGGCTTCACACAAAAGATCCTTGGCTCCGCAGTCATCCTGGTGTTAGCAAATTCACACTGCCACAGAGCTCCCTATTCCTGGAAATTATATTAAGTTTTAAGCCTAGGCAAAATGAATGTTTGTGTCTAGGGAAATTAGGAAACTAAAGTCTAAGGACAGATGCTCAGCTGACATTTACTGTTGCAGCTCCAAAGATTTCAAGGGAGCTACCGCACTGCACACCAGCTGATACACTGCCCCAGAGTATTTTTGACACGCATTCTTCTCCTTCCTAATTCTTTCAAGTCTTTTATGACTCTCCACTCAGACTGAAGGCAAAGGATTACCACTGGATGTTATTAAAGGCACAACTTGCTTCAGGATAGGAAAGACAATGAGAAAACTGTGTCATTCATACTGGTGGACTAGATTATCACCAGAAATTGGGAAGGGTAGCAAAATGAACTGGTCAAACAAGCTAGTCAAAATAGTTTTCAAAATTCCTGTTTGTAACTCATAAATTACATATAGGTCAAAGCCACAGGAAACATTAGCCAGAAAGGAAACATTGTTCCTGGAGGAGTTTTTCTAAAGCTTTTGAAACTTGCTTTCCCAAGAGCAAAAGGATTACTTACCGCATCAATATTGCCCTTTAGTGTTTCTATCCTGCCTGCAAAAAACAGGAATATGGCTCCCTGTAATAAATAATAATAAAAATACAAGTATTCTGTAACAGTTTTCAAGCTGACCATACAGTCTAGATCTTTGTTATTTGGCAAGAAAACATTAAATGATCATACCAGATTATATTATGATTCATTTTACCTTTGGATAACGAGCCAAGTAAGGCTTAAGTAGTCTTTCTGCCTCCTCAACATTTCCTTTTCCTGTCCCTAGAATGCATAAAAACGCAAGTGATAAAAGTATTAAGAAAATTAAAAAGGAAAAAAAAAAACCAACCCCACAACAGGAATGCAAGGTACTGATTCGCCATCCTCATCTGGCCAATATGTAAGGTCCTCTCTCTGATAAGTAAGGCATAAATACAGGTTGGCATTGCACTAAGCCAGCGAGCAGGAAGACCTGAACAACACTGTGCTTACTGACTTGAAAACTCATCTATGCATAGACAAACACATTCTGCAGAATGCTTTAGCAGGAGATAAGACGAGAGCATGTCTCAGTGGGAAGCTATCAGCTCCCCAAAAAGTCAGGCATGGCACATGAACAAAGTATTCAGGAGGTCATCACTTACAGCCATTATTTTAACCTCCAAAATAATGCACATGACTACTGAAGACAGATTTAGTCCTCACAACTTTCTTTGCTATCCCCACAGTCTCCCTTCTTGTCAAGCAAAGCTCCATCTTGAAGATACTCTCTTCAATTATGATCACTATTGTAAAATTACACACAAATGTAATTTAATCTGGTCATGAACAAACAATTCACCAACAGATAGGTGACAGAATCATCTTTTTCCCCCTCTGTGTCCCACAAGAACTAATCAAATCCAAGAGTTATTATAAACAATCTTACCTAACACAAAGGTCATGAAAGTATGATAGCAAAGCAACAGCATGGTACACAGCACCGACCTAAAGCTGTATGATGATGCTCCTTCTTGAAGCTGCAGCAGACCATGCTCCTGTGCAAACAGAGGTGAGGAGGACAAAGTACTGAAAAAGTACCAAAGCTGTGTTTTGCTAGTTTGTTAACTTCTGCAGCATCATCTACAAATTGCTCACTCAAATTCCCCAAATCCACCGACGTACATTGCTTACATAGCAGTCAAAGATAAAAATACACATATGAAGTTATCCAACAGTTTTTCTTGGAGTTACTGCTTAGCCTGGAAAACATCTGATGACAGAGCAGCAACTTGGGAGGTATTACATGGTTAACATGAGAGAATGTGAGACAACTTATCGCCATCATCCAAGTGCTGCTAAACAGCATTCCAGAAACAAAAAACACAGAGTTTTGAAATGCAAGGCAAATACAATTGTGCAATGTATCCACATTTGTTGTTATTCACTACAGAAGTAAGTTAAAGATATCAAGAAAAGAAACTAATCTACCAGTAGCAGGGCAAAAGATGACAAGGTAAAAGGATGTTTATAAGTATGCTAAGAACAAAAGGAGCTTTGCAATGATGTTGGCCCACTACCACCAGTGGAAAAATATGATGAAAAGAATTTTTCTCTTCCCTTTGGGAAGAACTGGAGCAATCAAGTATAACACTGTATTCCTGTTCAGTGACAGCGTGATGGATAACCAACTTTAAGGATTCAAACTCCTGAGGCAACAGCATTTAGCAGCCCGTTCTAGAACTGGTTCCATGATATCAACAAGAAGAATATAAATATGCAAACATATTAAACATGAGATCTGCCTGCTAGTAAACACGCACAGCAAGATCCACTGTGTGCTGAGAAAAATTCTGTTTAAAAGCCATACTATGACTGCAATGGAAAGTTACTGGAACATGATGTATGTGACTATAAGGACATCTTTTCAAACCAGCTACACTATAAATAGGGACCCCAAGGGATGTCTATGGGAGCCACTGCAGAAGTTATCAGAGAGAGCACTCAGAGCGTGACCTCAACACAGATTTTCATCTCTTCTGTGACCTTGTCAAGAGAGGGGTGTTATGCTACCTCAACTTTACCACTTACTGTAAACCCTGAAGCTTGTAAACATATTTTCATCATACATGTACTTTTCACTTAACTAGTGTGGTTAAGTGTTTTCATAGAAATACAATTATTTTGTGTTTTTTAAAAAAATAATAATTTATTACATTTATTACTGTTATAGGGAAAGGTACTACTAACACATGTATTTGCAGGTCAATTAGTACAACATCTAGCATGGACAAAATAATGAAAATACTGACTTGTATGTCTCTTCAGAAGAAATTAAGAGATAGTAAAATAATTACTGAAAATCAATGACTTAATTAAGCACTTGGCAAAATAAAGCTAGCTTCATTTTCTGCTGAGAGCAAAACTTTGATAGATATAGATAAGTAACAAAATACAATATATTCAACTTCTTTAAACTGCCCAGATGAAAACTACAGATATTTGGATTTTTAAAAAAGTAGCACTAGAGCACTGTGAGGTAGAAGTAAGACAAAACATTCTGTGGAATGAATTTTGGCAGAAAAACATTCTAGAACAGATTTCTAAAGTACATTTTTTTGAAGTTAAAAACCTTCAGGCTGCATATTTCACTGAGCCTTTACTGACACCAGTATTAGGCCTTACAGTATTTGCTATATTCCATATAATATAAAAATACATATAAAAATCAATGCTGATCACATTTGTGAATAGCCCTAAGAATGATACAGAAACAAATTTTATCAGTCATATAGAATAATTTAATCATTTGTCAAGTTGATCTCACTTAGGCATTTTAGTCTCAAATATGTATTTTAATACAGCCAAACACAAAGTCATCATCTGTATGGATAAAGACCGCAACCCACACCCACACTATGGGGGACTGCATCCTGGAACGCAGTAACTGTGAAGTAACTGGATTAAGAACATTGCCCACTCATCAGAAGAGGGCTACAAATCTGGCATACTTGAGCCTAAATTCTTAAACCGAGTAGTTACACAGGTATGGGAAGCTCACTGAGCAAGTTAGTTCGCTCTGTGGTATGTCCATAATCCTATTTTGTTCAGTACAGGTATTAAAGAATGCTTACTTTTCATTCTGCCACTTGAATACCCCAAATTTTTTATATTAAAGTAACAATGTAATCAGTAGACACAGTTTGGAAAAAAGCAGTTACTAGTATTACAACACTTGCTTGTACAAAAGGCTGCAACAAAGCTGTTTCTCCTCAAAGAAAAACCCCTCTTGTAAACTGCTTCTATTAGGATGAGACTCCCCCCCGGGAAGTGGTATGATGAAGGGTGTCGCTGGGAAACACGTTTTAGATACTACACCCAGCCAGCCTCCCTGGGCTGCCTCTGTGGCTGGGAGAGACAAAGGTACTTCTCCAGGGAACAATTCAGCACAGAAGCCCAGGTCAGACATTATGAATCACTTTTTCAAGCACCTACTCTCTCCACAGGGAGCCTACAGAGATTAGCCAGCAAACCTAACCAGCTAAGTGAGGTGTCACGAGTTGGGCAATACCCCCATGTAATCTCACCGGGGATCGAGCTGAGGATCTCAGAACCAAATCACAAGCAGCTACTACTTGAACCTAAGGAGAAACTGTCAGTGAGCTACACTCACCTGTGCCAGTCACTGAGTATATAATATTTAATTGTTAGGACACACCTTCTAACCATAAATAACCCACAAGTATCTCCCACACCTGTTCCACAGGTGATATGAGCAATCCCAGAACACCAGGTATGAACTTCCAAACGAAGTCTATTACAGGGCATATTGCTACAACATAAAACAGATGTCAAGGCAGTAAGTGCTCGTAATTCCTCCAAAATACTTAAGTGACATTAACACATTTAGGTTTTGTTTTCACACAAAATCTAAGTTACTCTGAAGGGCATAAGGTATAATGCAGAACAGGGAGCAATGACAGTTCTTGGAGACAAATGTGATCCAGTACGGTAACTCTCACCTTTCTGTGCAAGTTGCTCATAACACCCCACAATCTCTTAATTCCTAAGACTGTCCCGACATTATATTACATCAGTATCTCATTGATTTGATCCTTGTCCCAAGACATCCAATGCTCTGCTATTCAAGACTCCCCATATGAGCAGTGAGGATTTCCACAGCGAATGCAGGACATACAAGGACAATGCTCCAAACCATTAGCAGACAACACTGACATGGGTTCATATTTATTTCAGTTGCCACCGACTAAAATCCATCTATATTCCTGAAGCAAAAGCTCTTGAATGATATTTTAAAATCACTCTCTTTTAATTAGGGATCTTGACAAAGAAAGCAAAGCAAGGTCATCATTCATGTCCCATGACCCGATGACATTACTGCAGGCTTAGCAAGGATGATGGACACTACTAACAGCTTTTATGAAGAACTAATTAAACTGGTAGACAGGGCATTTGAATGTATCCCATTAAATGATTTTATGTTTAACCTTCATTTAAAATGTGTAGAAGAGACCAAAATGCAATTCAAAAAGATGCTTACTGGGAAAGTGGAATTCAATTTATTACAAATTGGCACATCAAAAATATTCTTCAGCTCGGCTGCTTTGGGAAAAATGTCCTCCCACATCAAAAAGTATAATTTGAAAGAAATTGGTTATATCTGGTTTCTGCCTTCCCCTGAAATCATGCTGTCATCTGACCCCCCGACAAATTGCACTTTAACATATGGTGAGCTCATGTCAAACTTTTCTACAGTGCAGCAGCACAGTATTTATAATCGTCTATAAAATATAAATAATATCTCAAGATTAAATATCAGCCTGAGACCTGGCAGAGGAATCAGCAAGAAGGGTTCAAAGCTTATATGGGAGATAGTGCCAGGACTCTTCTGATCTCACATCAGAAGTTAATTTTCATTAAACACAAAAAGTCCAGATGGGACACATACTCCACCTACTGCCCAGCGAGTGAGGAAGGCACACTTCCCAGCACAGTGTACCTGAAGGTGTATGATACATACCTCTGCCCACAAAAATTTTCTCATGAAATACGGCAAACCTGTATCAAACCTCAATGCCTAAATGCAGGGCCTATGCCATCAAACACAAATAAACCTGTGTTTTGACTAATGACACAGGGGAAAGGAGCTTGAACAATGAGAAGGGCACAACTGGCACATCTTGGACTGGAAGGGAACAAACGTGGCCTCAGGCTACTTTTATACTTTGTCGATCTTATCCTACCTACTATTTTGAGACTCCAGACTGCTGTTAAATTGATCATGTTGTCCACAGTGCCCACAAATGGCTTCGGAAGTAATGGAGCTTTGGGCATGTCCTCATTTACTATCAGACATGACATGTCTGAGAGACAATTAGAGCCCCTAGGGGAAAATCTGCTGGCTTCAAGGCAGATTAGTATTGTGGAAGATATCACAATGCAATTTTATATCCAGTTTTAATAAACACATGACCCATACCAAAAGCAAGCTCTGCTCCAGTGCACCGCAGCTCTCAGGTAAACTGTAAACAGCTCAAGGCACTAACCGTGACTTTTGTCTTTTGCACAATCTGATGCTCACCATGAGCATTTAGTGGAAAAGACTGCAAGATCAAACACAGATGTATTTAGAACTCCTTTCTTCTGGATGGGGTGCAGCATATGACACACAAACTTTCCCTCTCCTCCTCTGTCACTTTCTTTCACCTTCTAAACTGCTTGTTCTGCAGGGGGGACAGTTTCCTGTTGCAGGCTTTGGAAAACCACCACTGGAAAGGATTGCAAACACAACTGCAATTATCCTTTTGACTTTAGGCATCTGACTCACAAAGGTTAAATACAGAAAGACTTTTCTAGGTTGTTAAAGTAAATGACCATCAATGAACTTTGATGACCATGTTTAAAATTCTCCTTTTTTATGGTGTGCAGACAGCAGGGTTTTGCCATAAATTTATGGCAATCTAGGTCATGCTTCAGGGAGTTATTAAAAAATTGGAACAGGAGCTGACTCATCAAAACAAGTATCAGCCCACTCATAGCAATAGAAGAAATCCCAGGGCCTAAAGAAAATAACAGAAATTCAATTAGAGGGACAATTTTCATCTGCAGCAATAAGATGAATGTTCAGCAAAGTATTCTCAGAACTCTGCTGGTAAATGAACTGCCCGTACATTTCTGCAAGAATATTTTGCTTTAGATGCACTTTGGTCTAACTGACAGGTAGAACTATTTGATTTTTTCCTCTACTGCTTGTGAAACAGCTCCCAGTCAGCTCCTGGAAATTTCCAAGTTCTAATTCATGCTCTGTCAAAAGCTCCTTGATTTTAAACTAGACATTTTATTTTCAGATATAATATCCTTCCTGCAAACTAATAAAATGGTGATGACACTCATCTACCTGTCACCTAAGGTTGCAGCTCTGATTACGGAAACATTTTTCTCCTGGAAACTTGTTTTGTAAATAGGAAGCATTACAAAAGAGTTAAGTTTTAACTGGTTTATACAGCTTTTGTTGTGTCTGCAGGACATCAAAAGTTTACCTTACCCAGCAATTATGAAATAAATGTGACTAATAGTTTAGGTTAAATGGACCATATTTTCTTAATCCAGGGACCCAACTTTGAGTGAATCTCATCTTCTGCTGGTAGAATGAGAGACAAGGGCAGGTACAAGGTATCAAGGCCAAGATATTCCCATCAATTTAGCATCCTATTTTGAAACAACAAACACACAAAAACCTAACACAGCACTTTCTGTGCATCTGCCCTGCAGAGTAACTCAGGTTCATGCGAGTTTACTGGTGCTTCATTACTGAACTTCTGTCCTTAAACTGCATGCACAAACAACATAGGTCAGACTGGTTACTCTCCGGGCAAAAAAGCACTTACTGTTTTAGGAAAACAGAATTTAGGTGCCACACTCAAGTTATCAGTTGCTATTAAAGACATGTAGAAAAAAATCAGATTTTTTTTTTTTTTTTTCCCAACTGGATGTCACGCAGGAACCTGTCAGATATCACAATGACAGTAACTATCAAGTAAGCTAATATATTAAAGGCTAAGAATACACTGTTGGCTATGGGTTTCTAAGCACAAGCATACATCAAGAGCCCAGTAACTAAAAAGCCAATTATGTCAACATCACTGTCATCGTCATTGTCTTTACCATGTTTCACAACTGCATCATCCTTGAACAATGGTATCACAGTCTTTGAAGTGTAATAGTTCAGACAAAGAAATAAAGGAAAACTGAGCTGCATGAAAGCATCAGTGCTAACAGTGTGCATGTGATACCAATCAAGAGTGTTTCAGAGGGTTACAGCTAACGTGAGGAAGAAGAGAGAAACTTCTGTCTCCATTTTTTAGTTTAAGAGTGAGGGGAACTTACCAATAATATTTAGTTCACATTTACCTTGTTTCCAGAAAATCCAACAAACTCCAGTAATCTCAGAATTCGTGCAGGAAACATGGACAATGTCTACAGAAAAAATGCAACAGTTATGCAGCAATGGACTTTCTGCCTCTCAGCTACCAGCCCTTACACAACTTTTCCAAACACAAGAAATTAATAATTAAAATTACTAAAACCATCCTACACGTCTGACAATTTCCTGGGTAAACATATACACCCACTATATTTTACATACAATTTAGACAGAAATATTTGTTTAACATAGAGACCCTATGTCTCCAAGATTCCCTGCTCAGAAATATGTTTACATAGTATATGCTTAGTAACTCTAGTACTTCTTGAACGTTTCAGAAATACTGGGTGCACACCACACAGTATGTATTTGTTCTTTGTGCAGTAAATCTAGGATTTGGGCATGTGCCAGACTCACATAAAGCAATGCAAGCAAGGGGAAGCACCAAGCACTTTCGGCAGCCCATCACTGAACAACCACGTCACCCCTCACCAGCTCTGGGTCAATGCCTCTCTGACACAGCAGGAACTGTCCTGTGCCATTTGACCACTCACGTTCTGACGAGAACACAAGCAGCAACAGTCAAAAGTGAGTGGCCTGAGCAGCACCCCAGGCCCCACTCATGTACCCTGCCCCACCCACTGCCATGCTAACAGCCAAGTCTCTGGTTGCTTTCCAAGTGCCAGTTAAACAGTAAATGGAGGTAAAAAGCACAGGCCAACTGCTGCTTCTGTGCAAGGCTTCTGCCGGCCCCCATCCCAGCGGGTCCCTTCTCATAAGACTACACCACCTTCCCCTCCAAGTACTTCCTAAGCATGGTCACTTGGCTAATGAACACCCTCACTGGAAGCCAGGCACAGGCATTCAGCTGTATTCTGAAAAAACATGCCCTTAGCCCACAGCAGATGAGATAATTTCTCAGTTGATAATCTCCCCATGAGGATGCACAAGCAGGTCTGCACATACAAAGCAGTGTTGCCCATATTGCAGGTAGTAGCCTCTTTATTTCTAAAGTGTATTTATTACTACCTGATGTTCTTAGACCAGAGATTGGGATCCTGTCAGCACACATACCTAATTTTAACCATATGATCAGTAACACTGATATCAGTGGAACTTCTCAGGTACTTATTAAGGTAATTTTCAGGAGGTTGCAGGACTTCAGCTCAAGAGAAGAACTGTTGGTACATACCAGATTAAATGCTCCAACTCCAAGTTTTACACCTCCCTCAAAATGAAGATGGTTCTCTCCTTTGACATAATGTGGAGACTGTATGAGACTGTCCAGCTCCCTGAAATGCACAAGATTCTGTTACACTGTCATTAAATAAAATGATTAATTACAATTCAGTAAGAAAGTAACCCAGTTACCTTGAACTACATGGTAGTTCAAAAAAGGTCAATTTCTCAGCCCACTCATGTGAGCAACACCTACATTGCCCTGGCTTTATCAACAAATCTTCTCTGTCACATTACTATCAATTCAAAAATACGGAGTCCTGGAGACGAATTCCTGTCAAAGAGACAGTCAATTTGCAACCATATTTCTGCCTGAAAATGTTTCAAGAATGTCTGTTGGGAGCAACACCAACTTTTACTACTGCAAAAAGATGACAGGGCACTGCAGGAGAGTTAAATTTGAGTTAGCAAATCTGATATGAGTTTCACTAATCCCTGGAGGATTAGTTATTCCTTTTTTGTGCATGTTCATTCAAAAGAACATTTTGGTATATATAGGAAAATACAGTTCTAAGAAATATTTTTAAATGGGCAGGTATATCAGAAATTACTTTTCACACACTTTTCTAACTTTCATAGATCTCAACTTTGTAGTGTCCCCTTATTTCCCTGTGTAATCCCGCTGGATCTGAACGTGTTTAGTCTCCAAGCTTTCTACAGCTATGTGTTTTTCACACTCTTGTTTTAGTTTATTTTGTTAATTACTAGGAGAAGAAAAACACTCTTTTAATGGCAGCCACATTTTTTCTGTTCAGGCTGTATTGTTTTTATCTGCTGGTTGTTGCCAACAGACATAGGACTATTCATTGTAACTGCAGTCTTTACAACAGACCTGCATTTAGAGTCACCTTAAACCCCCACAAATATGGACACTGTCATCTCCCTCCCTTGCAGTATACTTCTGGAGAACCTGGACTGGATGCTGTTTTGTGTCTGCTAGACGTGTGACTTTTTGTGGCTGTTCTGAGACCGAATTTCAAGTCCTAAAGTAAACTAAAATATGATGAGTATTTAGTTTTCACTTTTTAAAATTATTCATTTAAGTTTGTACTACTGTGAAATTTTTTCTGATATTTTTTATTCACTGGCAATAAACAAATGTTTCATTCTGAATTATAGTTTTATTTCATTCCATCTTTTTTATCGTGTATGGTAACCTTTTCTCCCTGAGAGTTTTAAAACTTTTCATCTTTGCAACACTGACTCCTCTTGTCTTTTCAGGGTTGCTGTTGTTATGGATTATCAAGCAGTACTGATGACAGCAGGGAAAGGAAAGATGGCTTTTTATTTCAGAAACTAGGCTGTAAAAAATAATGATCAATCAAAGCAAATAAAGTCTCATTTCCATATTTCATTGATTTCTCTGTAACCCGTTGCACCACACTCTCATCAAAAGTGCAAACGATTATTTCTTCCCACATCAAAGATACAGGACAAAAATCATAACTCCCAATCTCATATACAAATTTTCCCTTTGTTAAAATACGTAATTTAATAATATGCCAGTTATCGTTAGAATTCTTTTGGAAAAGGCCACCTAAGAGCTACTAGATTTGTAACACTTTGTTTTAATCTATACTAGAGCTGATTTTAATTTGCTGAGGCACAACTGAATGTGCCCCCCATAGTGTGTATTTTTAATGTCATTTTTACTATTGCACTTCAAAATTTTTTGCACATATTGAAAGTAGATCTCCATAACTTCCTGGATGGAAAGAACTCTGCTTATGCAGATGGTTTTGGTTTATAGATACTAAGTAATGGGCATATTGTGAGTTCAGATAAGCAACCCTGCTTATCATTTTCAGTAGCATGCACTTTCTCTTCAGAGTAGAACCACTGCCATACTTAACCAGATTAAAAGTCCAGCTAACCAAATATTTCACTCAGACAGTAGCATATGCTTGGAAAAGCATCCCCTAGGAATTGACTGCTCAGGGACTTCATGATGCAGAGAGAGACCACATCTGTTCTACTATGCTAACTAGCCCCTATAAACCTATTTTTTGTAAATTTGTTTAATCTGTGAAGTAATTTATACTTTCCATTGCAAGCTCTTTCAGTTTATTGTCACTTGATTTTTTATAGTTTCATGCATTTATTATGGAATTACTTGTGCTTCAGCTACTGGTTTTGAATGTTCCAAAAAGCTGCAGCTAGAACTATAAAGAAACACCACGCCATATGCCTAATGAGCGCGAGACCTCCAAATTGTGCTATGCAGACAATGAGCACTACACTGTTTAAAACAGTTATTTTTTGACATAATTTCAGATATAATATATGAAGTAGGCAAACTTCTGAGTTAACAGGGTTAGGGGTCCACTGTCTTTACAATCCAAATAAACCGTATCAATGTCCTTTGTTATGGAAAGAAGAATTTGTGTGGGCTGAGAAAGACATGAGGCCCATAATAAAGGCTGCAATAAATACAACAGTAATTAATTTGTGAATTGGACAATTTGACCAGCAGCACTTTTTACTGAAAGAGTACGCTTAATCACATCATCACTCTGACTCACCTGTATGTTTGGTAACTGTTTCGGACTTTGATGCCTCCTTTTATGAAGCTAACCATATTCTCATCCTGTTAGAAAGGAAACACATTAGCAATATGAATTTATAAACGTTATAAAAAGCTTTTGCTGTCTTGAGATGAACACATGGCTCGAACATAACCATCACGACACAGACAATAGAAGTCTCTAAGAAACAATACGTGGATTTAGGATTTCCTTTCTACCTTAAAATATTTTCACGCTGTACAGACACATACACTTTATTTTGATGTTTTCTGTGATTAGTTTAGCCCTTGTGACCTTTGGACCATCTGAATTTGCATTAATGAACAGAAGGACTAAGCTAAAGAACGGCACCTAAGGTACATGCATTTGTAACTGTTTCAGAAATAAGCCTTCTCTCATTTGTCCTTCAGCACAGTTAAGATCTGAACATTTCCTGGCTCAGCACCAGATACAAATAACTGCCTGTCCTCAGAAGTCTACAGAATATAGTTTCACATCCTAAAAAGGGAGCAGGGTAAGTAAAGTTATACAGCATGTGTTCTTTCTTGTCTGAATATTCAAGTATCTATTTGAGATCCACACTAATATGGCAACGTGTCACATTACAAGCTATAACGAACTTGGAACTTACAGCAAAGTGTATCTGGGGGACCATTAGTTTACAGTTCTATTCCAAGAGAGAACTCTGCAGTCTCCAAACTCTCTGGTGGCAGTTTTTTGCCTCACTCATCATGTATGATCTGTCATTCTGGTTTGTTTTGATATCTGCTGATACTTTGGGACAGGAAGACTGTATGTCTTTTAGCAGATGATTTTTCTGTGATGGCATTTTAAGAGGCTGTATGAAGCATTGTGAAGAAAATGGCACAGATTAACGTTTGGTTGTTCTACTGTTATTGTTAAGGAAACAGGGACCAATTGTGCTCATCAGTATGTAAACAAAGAGACAGAACCTGCCTCAAAGAGCCTTCCATACTCCTGTAAATCAGGAAGATAACTCAATCCAATCAAAGTTACAATTAAACAACAAAGTTACAATCCAGACTTTGTTTTCTATTAATTAGTATAGGAAGTCTAATGGCCTGAACTGAAGGGCAAGGGCTTACTCTTGCATCCTGCAACACCACCACTAGCCTGTGTCCTTAACAGTCACCCTCAACCAACATTATCAAGAGTGATAATTCAGGACAGAAACCGTGTACCATAAATTAACACGTAATTCCTGATGATATACCCCCAGAAACTCGAATCCAAATCACACGCAAACAAAATAACTGCAAAATAATGTGATCCTGTTTTTCTTTGTTCTGTAGAAAAAGTCAGTTTTTAATTAGTAACTGCGGAGGCGGGGCGGGCAGATTAAAGCATACCTAACCATATGCAAAGGTTCAGTTATATTTTCCTATGAATGAAAAATGAAAAGAGGAAAGAAGATGGTTTTAAAATGTTTAAATTCAGAATAATCATGATACCAGTAACAGAGACAACCAACATGAAAACAGTCCAGCCCTTGAAAAATCCTGAGACTAATTTCTATGTATTTTCACCTGGATTTGATCATTTACATCAAGCATCAAAACTAACCCACTTCAATAGCTGTTGGAACCAAGTGCCTTTGTTTAATTTTTAAAACCTGTTCATGTGTTCATGAAAAATTAAACACAGAATAGAAGAGGAAGCAAATAGACATTCTTTATGCAGAAGAGGACAAGAAATTATTTTTTTACTCCTAAATCTCTCATGTATCTGTTTTTAAAAGCAGATACCTGTGAAAATGATGCTTAAAAAAAAGAGACACTGCATGAAAACACTGCTTTCTCACAGCCACAACAGAGAAGTTATGAAAAGACTTGCTTCCATAACTTCAAGATATCACCCAAACTGTCCCCAGTACTAGAGGCTACTCATTCCAAAGGAATATGGAAACAAGTAGCTACACCTTGGCAATTTCAAAGGCCATCATCTTACCATAAAGTCGCCATCATCAGCAGTCTAAAAACCTTCAGAAACAGCTACTCCACTACTGGTTTTGCTATGAAGCAATAGTTTCTAGCAGAGGGACATGGTAGATCACTGAAAAGGGTTACACAGTTCATAAACTATCATAAGCAATATAAATCAGAGGCCATCTGGCAATTCCCAAACACTATAAAATCACCACCTGCATTTCAGTCTCTACCAGCATCTCTGAACCAAGAAGCAGAAGCCCTTTGCAAATGTAAATTTTTATTAACCCCTCTGCAAAGATGAAGAGGCCCACTGTCATAGAGCAAGTACAACCAAATCAGGAAGAAGAATCAGTTACTTCAACTATGATTAACAATTTAAATTGCAAGCTGGAGCCCAAGTAAGTGTTGCTAACGTTGATCCATCAAACAAATCAAGATTCATTAGTACAGGCAGATAAAATTCAAAGAGGGAGAGCTCCCCTTCCTTTAAAGGCAGGCAGCACTGTTTAAGCAAAAAGCATGTGTGGAACCTAATAGCTCTGCAGACCCTAGTAGCTTTTCAAGAACAAACAAGTGAGAAAGCAGCCTTGGGAAAGCAAACGCCAGCCTCGTTTGCATTCCAGCATAGTACAGCTTCAAGGAACATCTCTTCATTTTTTTATTTTTTTTTTTAATCTGATATCCCAACACACAGTATTTGAAAATCAGTGCTTACTGCAGTGACATTTCACACATCCAAAAGGGACTGGAAAAGTGCAGCACGGGGGACTCAGTGCTATGTGTATAGAGATAAGCATTTTTAGAGATAACAAAACATTCTACTAACTCATCAGCAGATAGTCCAGACAAATTCCAGATTTAATCCAGATGAGAGTCTTACATTATTAGGTCAACCTAGAATCTTCTACCATTACATTAATTTTAAGAAAATAAACCTGTATGGTGTGTGCTTTCCCCCCCCCCCAAAGAGCCCTGCTGGAATCCATACCTGGAGGAATGTGAGTGCTGCTCTCTGAAGTAAACATTCAGCATAGCAAATTTCTGCATGGATTTCCTCTAGTGTCACATGGAGAGGAGAAGAAATCAAATCAATCAGATGAAAAGTAATTAAAAAACACTTAGTCCATCAATAGAGGAATAAAATCACAAAGCTCAAACTGAGAAAAATATTTTCCAAATTTGCTGTAGCATTTCAGTTCTAGACTACTGAAGTAACTCCAAAGACAAATGACACAAATTTATAGAAATTTTGCAGGAATTTCCCTGGTGCTTTCCAGGAATTCCTGGATCTAGAATCTTTCTAGGCATTTTGATATTTTTGTAGGTTTTTCTTTACCCAGAAATTTTTGGAAATGCAGAGTTGGCAATCGACAAAACCAGTGATTTTGGCTGTGGTGACACAGCAATTGCCAAAACACTGATCCAGCAAATGTTAAATCAGTGACCTCACAATCTGCAAAAACATGTTGGGTGAACAATTCTACACAATTCAAACTGCAGAAAAAAGAAGAGAGGGAAAACATGCATGTTAGAGATAACATTACCTTCTGTAAAGTGTTCAAGGCTTTGTCTATGCACAAGGTTGTTGATAGAATCAGCTACTGTAGACTTCTTCCTGAATCTACAGAAAAGTCAGTTTGGTCATTCTGAACATGAAGCATCACAAAAAGAGAATGATATCTTTCATCTGGCCACCCATACAGTCACTAACATACCTCTAGTGCTCACCAACCCTCTGTCATAATTTCTTTACTGAATTGCTCCACACTTACTTTTGACAGGTGGCTTGAGCTTCCTTCATTGTGTTTCCTGCATTCAGTATGTCCTGAGGATCAAATGTCATCATAGCTTGCATTTCCAATATGGTGGCATAAGTCAGTGCATGATACATACTATCTTTAGTTCTGAAAAAAACCCACAAGATGCAAAGCACAGCTGATTTGATTATATTATTTCTTTTAAAAAACAAATACAAATCCAATTCCAGAAATGTATCAGCCTGATGGGAAAAAGGTCTAAATGAACTAGGAATCAAACACAAAGGACGTGCAAAATAATCAAGAAACACTAATGGATTGAAATCTATACAAGAACTCATGTCTACAGCTCCAGTTCCAAAAACTGTGCTAAAATGTTCCAGTTATGTATCTAATACATAAATCACAAGGAATTAACCAAGTGGCTAACCATTCAGGGATGGAGTATATAATGAATACTACAACACATGACACAAATCCAGATATTTTTATTCTAATTTTGAACAGTTACTCAGGATAGATTCAAGAAGATAAATAACACAATATTATGACTGTAGTCAAAGCACAAACTTCTTCCATCACATCTTCCCACCAGAAGCATTCCAGTCTACATCAAACATTACAGCTTTTTCCTCCTCTCCCCTTCTGCCAACCTTCCAGCCCAATCTGTTCAACTTTAATATTATTCTGTGGGATTTCAGATGATGCCTCTTCTGCAGAAAGCCAAAAACTTTGGCATTAGTGCAAGGAAAACAATTAACTCCTACATGCAGCCATTGCCAGCATCTTTCCTCTGGCAGGAAGAAGGGTTCATATATTGCACATGTTTACAGCAAGTACCTGTGTTTGGTATAATCCTCTGCAAATGAATCAAAATATCTTCAGGCGTAGAGGTTCAATAAAGACAACTTGGGAAATATGTTGAAGGGCAAGCTCAGATGAATTCCTGCCACAGAAACTCTCTGTAGACCTTGCTAATTCACCCCTGACAAACAGCACAACTTAGGCAAATACTGCTAAAGAGCAACAGTTGCTATTTCAATTGTTTACACTTTTAGAATGAATCAGACAGTTCTATATGTCAGGGAATATTCAAAAGTACTTCCAGTCAAACAAGGATATCCTTTTAACAAAATCTCCACCTTTAGTACACCTATTCTCAATCCACATACTTCAGGTGTTTGTTTCTCAAAACGAGCCACTTCGTTTTCTTTTTCTTTCAAGGAGAAAGTGGTGTGCTAGCAATGTGCCCTTGCTGCAAATAGGGCTAATGGGCTGCATTAAGAGGAGAGATACTGCCAGCAGGTGGAGGGAGTTGATCCTTCCCCGCTGCTCGGCACTGGTGAAGCCACACCTGGAGTACTGTGTCCAGTTCTGGGCTCCTCGGTACACGGACATACTCGAGAAAGTCCAATGAGGATGATGAAGGGACTGGAACATCTCTTCTATGAGGAAAGGCTGAGAGAGCTAAGACTGTTCTGCCTGGAGAAGAGAAAGCTCAGGGAGTTCCGATAATGTACAGAAATACCTGAAGGGAGGACGCAGAGGGGACAGAGCCAGGCTCTTCTCACGGTGCCCAGTGACAGGACCAGAGGCAATGGGCACAAACTGAAACACTGAAACTCTGTCTGAACATCAAGAAACACTTTTTTACTATCAGGGTGACCAAGCACTGGCACAGGGTATCCAGATCTTGTACAGTCTGTAAGACACCTGGACATGGTCCTGGGCAACCATGCCTAGGTGGCTCTGCTTGAGCACATGATCTCTAGAGGTCCCTTCCAACCTCAACCACTCTGATTCAGTGGTTCTCTTTTAAGTGGAAAAGCCAAACTTTCAAGAGACCTCAATCCATTTAATTTCTCCCCTGGAAGTACAATTGCCTCTGCAGGCTTTGATACCTGGACTGAACTGAAAGATAATTTTAAGGATAATTTAAGACAATCCTCTATTAATCAGTGATCTAATATCTCACTGTGGTGACTTGGATCCCTTTAAGTTCTCTAACAATTCATACATTCTTATGCATTGTTTGGTTCAATGGATTAAAACACCCTTAATTATCCTCAGGTGTCCCTGATGTTTGGTTAAGTGTTTTCCAGAGCCAAAAAATAACCTTGCCTACATCTAAGGTAACCCCTTCTCAGTGACATTATGCAATAAAATCACCACAGAAAAATTCAAGCGATGATACGATCCTGACTTTCTTTATATTTTTTGAGTTCTAGGGATTAAAATAATACTAGCACTGGTGCAGAGAGCATTACATAGATAACTGGTTCCTCCCTTGTCAATGTTCATACTGATGACAAAGGGCTACTTTTTCCAATATACACAGCACAGAGCAGACTGGCTGTACTGAAGAAATTTGCAGTGTACATCTTTAAGCCCCACTGCAGTCTGTGTATTGTGGCTGTCCTTAATTATTAGTTGCCCTCATCACATCCACAGGTTACCTAACAAGCTGGTCTAACCAACATCTAAACCAATCTAGCACAAAAGGCATTTTGGGAAATCGACTGCCATAAGTCCCCAGACTATGCTAACGTCCATTTCATCTCCAATGTGAGTAAGAAGAACAGACAGATAATAGAGAAATCAGTTTAAAATCCAGTGGAGTCAGAGCAGCTCTGTCTTTGCCTCCTACATCATGATTCTTTCAGTAGACTGATAATGTAAAGTAGAAAAAATAAATGAACACAGTATAAAATGCCAGCCTGATGAAGTGTTCCTGTTCATTTGATTACTCATCAGCCTCAGTGGGTGCAGAGAAACACACTTTATCTCATATTTATTAAAATAAAACCCTTCCAAAGGTTCAAATTCAAAGCACAGGGAAGGCACTAAAATAGTCCCTTTCCAAAATTTTAGAAATTTGTTTTCAAAATTAAAGCAGATAAATATTAAATTCACTTCACTAAAAGAAAAACTGATACTCTTCACACATACATAGTGAAGAGGGATTTCCATCTACATATTAAATCAACCCTGCCCTAATCAATGGTTTCATCTATTCTGCTTCTAATATTTAGAGGAGATAATAATTAATGTTTATGATTAGTCAACTGGTATTTATCAACACTCAAATTTAATCTTTTTTTTCCAAGGGCTGGGAGGCGGGTAGAAATGCAACCAAATGTAAGAGTTATCTATGCTATTTATACTAACCATACAATTAAAGTTGCCAGTTACATCCTGGCATATTGCCAGAAGTTTCAAGGCCTGCATTTTATATTGAGGGATGCGGAATGAAACTTGATAGCTTTTTTTTCCCATCTTTTGATTCCTCAGCAGCACTTTCCCCAGAACATGGTTGACATTAACAAGCCTTTATGACATAAATGCAACTAATATTTTGATGAATGACTTATCCCAGTAGTTGGTATCACATGGCTGAATAAGAGGATTATAAGTAATATCTTTAGGCACTCAGGGAGTTATGCCACACGCCTGTACTCCAACTACGGTACAATCATTATCATCTTGTAGCACTGCCCCTTCCTTGAAAACAAGTACCTAAGCGAGGACGGTGACAGCTCTTCACTCCAGCTGAAGCATGAAAAAAGCTTGGCTTGACCTCAGAATTAACCCAGGGGCTAGTAATTTTGGTGAAAAACACAGTGCCCGTTTTTTTGTGGATCCTTTTACAGTAATCCAGAAGGCAGGACATGTGTCACCAGGTTACAGAAATCCCCAGTTCAAATCCATGCCCTGATTTAGTATCAAGATGCTTCTAACAAGTAAAACAAATCCAACAGCACAGAGTGAGAAAGACCCTCCACAGACCAGCCAACAGTCAATTCATGCAGGTGTACCCAAGAGAGAGAGATCAAGGCCCAAAGCAAAACTGCATCAGGAGAATGTGGTCACACGGGGCCTGAAGGCTTTCCTCATCTTTGATCAGAAGTTCCACCCAATGATCAATCACCCGCCAGACCTACTGCATGGGCCTCCACAGAAACTCTCTGCTTTGAGAAATCGATATTTTCTGATAAAAACCTATTTTCTATGTAAACTCCCCACTAGCATTAAGTTCACAACTAGAAAAGACCATTCTGATCAGCCACCAACCTGGTTCCCTAGTTACCACAAGCTGCCAGAATGGTCTAAGTCTGGTCTAAGCCAAAAAGTTGCAGTTCAGCAAGAGAACCCCTGAGCCTTTTTGATCTAAGCCATTCTCCAAAATTCAGAATCTAGTAAGTTTTTCCAGCTAGGAGGTGAAACCAATAATTAAGTTAGGTTTTGACAGCAATTTATTTATTTACAAACACTACAGAAGTTATGTTCTTTGGAGTCCAGGCTTAAAGAGAGAAAAAGAAACCTAGATATAATGTCCTTCTTCATGTTTTTGACATTCTTTACAATAAATAGCTAACTCGAGCTATCTGTAGAGCTGTGCACCATCTTTATCCAACCACTGTCTAGAGTTTCACGCTACCTCCATGTGCTTCCCCTTATTCTTTTACCACTCTGACAACCACACACCTTCTTTGTTAGATCAGTTCCCAGAGAAAGCTCTTCCACCCCACTCAACAACCTCATGTTTGCTTTTGTTCTACATAGGCAAGAACATTTCACCACACCATGAAGACAGCCACTACAAAAGGCTTTTTAAAGATCAGAATATACAAGATAATATTTAACATTGTAAACTGGGCTTGTATTAAAATTTCCAGTGATAGTAAAGAGATACCACAGAACTACACTGTTCAGTAAGAGTTTCACAAGTAACTAGCAGTGCAGTAACACAATCTCTTCACAGGTACCTGAGGTACTCCCACGTCAAAGGGCTGAACTTACCTTTCAAACACGGTCAATTCTAGAATTAACATTCCACAAAATGCTTTTGGAGACTATTTTCAGAATAAAATCAACTGCCCAGAATGAATCATTCTCATATTGTTTTTATAATACTGCAAGCAGTAACACAGCTGTGTTGCAGCTCATCCAATGATCCAGATTACTCTGTCATGAATTTATTATTTACCATTCTTCCAAGTGATCTGACATCAGCAAACCATCAGGTGATTATGTCATGCTTTTCTTCAGGATAACTATAAAAAACTTAAACATTTGTCCTGGGAAAGGTAAGGGAAAATTCTCACTAGAAAACTCTTTAATTTATGATTATCTGTTTGCATTTACATGAGGGCTAAAATCTAGTCAGCTTTTAATCAATTTACTGTATGTATCGGAGTTGAGAAGGAAGATGAGATTTTTTCCTCACTCCAGTGACTAGACAGTTTCAGTGTTACTCACTGTCACAGTTAGCAGGGTACATATTGAAAATCACTGCTGTGTTTGGTGACTGAATTTAAGGGATTTCTTAAGTGATCTTAGACTTAGTGTGAATAATCCATATAAAAGATTAACTGAAATAAATTTACTGCAGAAACCCCAAGATAATTGGTGCCCACTACTGTATGATGATTGTTAATGATAATAATGAAAACTGACTCTAAAACGTAAAAGGTAGCTGAAGAAACAAGAAAAGTTATGTAACATGAAGCAAAAATGCCAGATGAATTCTTTTATGAAATGAGATCTCTTCTTTATAATGGATTTGCTTTTCTAACAGGAAAAAAAGAGCTTTACCTCAAACACAAGTCTAGACACTATCCTCAGATATTTATTTTCAAGCTGCTAGGAAAGATCTTCCAATTTTAACTCTCATACATTGCCAAATCTGCTCTCAGTTACACATGGTACAAATCACTTGAAAATACACTTATTGTGCAAGCCAACTGTGAGTAATTTAGTGAATCTGCAATAATGTAATACAGAGCAGAGTATGTCCTACAACATAAGTGGTAAAGCTGCAAAATCTGAGATACGAAATTCTTTACAAGCATGTAAAAACTGAAAAGTATTTATTTAAACAAAGATAGTATGTTTATGGACTGTGAAACCCAATTTCAAATCTCAGCACGCTAAAAGGCAACAGTGAGGAACTGAGACTCCTAAAGAAAATAGTCAGTATTACCACATGTGCCCACTCTACAGCTTTTGTCATTCCCTAAAAAGATGGCATGTGTCCATAATGGATATCATCTGTGGGGAAATTTAGCATCCTGTTTCTGCATTACACTTTTAAAGAACCTATGTCTGTATTCCCCTTACTGCCAAATGCAACAGGAATAAGGGCCTCCTCATAACAACAGGCTAACATGAAAATTCAGTTTCAAAATGGTTTTTCAATGTGGAATAATGTCAGGTAGAAAAACAGAGTATCTGCTCATGAATTTTGCAGGGCCCAATAAAAGCTGAAGGGAAACCATATGCAATAGAAGAAAAATGGATTTATAGAAAAAAACCCAACCTACAGCCTAGCTTTTGCAGTGTTTTGGAAACCCCCTTCAATAAAATACCTCCCTGTTTTATGCTAAGCACTGGGTAAGTATTTCCAGATGGGCACTGGGGATTTACTATCAGTATTTAATGAAAACACAGTTATTCTTCTTACCATTTTTATGATAGCTTCTGATGATATATAGACACAAAGCAACACTGCTGTGAATAAAACCAGTATTATTAATACATCTGAGCCTACAATTTATCATTAATGTCTTTCACAGAGTGTACTTAAGCTACAGATTCTGGCATCAAAGACTGAGGCTGATACCTCAAGCAAAGCAGATATCTAGTGTTCACTACAGTTACCCCTGATGCATTATCAAACACACACTACTGCATTATCTATGAATTTTACTTGTTTCATATTCCAGTGGCCTGAAAGAAGGCATGATGTATTTTGCTGATGGCTTAAAAATAAACGGAGCAAATTGGGGGAAAAAACCGTGAATTAACCAGACTTCAACAAGGCAAGAGCGCAGATAACTTCAGGACAGGATATTAAAAATCACAGACACTGTAAAGAGACAACAATTTTTAGAAGCTCTTTTATGACCCTGCTGCTTGCAGCTGGGCCACTCATTACATGCTGGGCTGCAACATAATTAGGAAACAGAGTACATGACCACAACACTGAATTGCAAAATAAGCTGTGAGAAAGTTTCTGCAAGTGGTTATTACAAAACAACAACAACAAAAAATTCAGACCTAAAGTAATGTGTCTCAAACCTGGCAATTCATGGTCAGTTGCTCATTTTGACACAAAACTATAATTTCTCACAGTATGCAGAAAAACATGGGAAATCCCACATACCGTACTACAGCTAAGGGGTTACTTCTTTGGACAATGATTCTGTACTTTTTGTAGTTAACTTTGATCACTCTTGTTATTTAGTTACACCAAGTATTATTATTCTGACACTATTATTATTCAGACACTTACTCTGTCTTCCCCAGAACTTATCACATTAACTTACTGCCCCCTTCTGAACCAAAACCATGCAGTCTTATGAGCTATTTGGAGAACTAGCTGTCTAGTCCTGAGATATGGTAAACAAAGAAAAATAAACAGAGGAAAAATAGTAAAATTAATCAACTTACTTTGCTTGTAAAGAAGCCAAAGCATCCGAGAACTTGTTGTTAAGAAATAAATCCAGAGCTGCCATACACTCATGCAATGCCATGTTGAGGTCTGATGTAGGTGACCTGCCAGAAGAAGAGAGAATAAACTCAGGCCATCTGTTCTCCTTCTATCTGTGCATTACTGTTACATTCGAAACCCCCTTCTTCAGTTCTAGCCTTATTCCCATGTACAATGTGCTACTCCATCTCTAGAGATTACAAAAAATGAAAGTTACTTCCATTATGCTTGTGGGATTTGGATTTTTTTAACCATGCTCTTACCCTGTGACACATGGAAAGCAATTTAAGTTTTATACTTTCTGAAAATAAGATAAACTGCATGTAGTGTAAAAAAGAACCTGGACATGCAGAAGTTACCATGTGGGAGCATGGAAATTTGATGAGCTCAGGTATCAGGAACGCAGAAAGCACTGGGTGACAATGCATATCTGATGGTGTATAAGGCTGACAAACACTACAGGCTAGTGACATTATGATCATGTTGTCACTTTAAGGATGAGACATTGCCAAACTGCATCAGATTATTATATCAACTGCTACTGGAACATCTGCTTTAGTTCAGCTCATGTTCAGTATTGTTCCTGACCAGTAGACCACTACAGATTTGCAAGTGGGTTAAAATTCCATGCTGTGCATGCTCCTGGGAACATCACTGTCCCTAAGAAGTGCTACTGCACTCAAAAAAAACACTGCTGCATCTCAAAGTCAGAAGATTCTTAGTGGCTTACTCTGGCTGTATTTCTCTCCTTTAAAACATTCAGATGTCAGCCTGACCTGTCACAAGGGTTCTCAGCTGGTCTTTGGGTTACTGGCAACAGGATAATGCAGAGCAGCTGAGTAAGTTTGGCCCAACTTCATCACCACCAGAATTGCTGGACAAAAAATCCACATAAGAAACAGTAAGGCCTTGAACTAACAAAGTCAAGGTCACCTGGCCAGTGTTAGGACAATTGAAACATCTGCATCTAATGATCAAAGAGCTATACTGCACTAATATTTTGTGTATAAATCTGCACAAAAAAGCTCCCCCCAAAAAATACAAACAAATCCTCATCGTGTTCCTGACTCTGAACAGCCCTAACTGATGGGATCTGTCTGTGACTTAAAAACTATGTTACTTCCTTAAAAAATGTGACAACACATAGCCTGCTGAAAGGAAAAACAGAAAGCAAAGTCCTGGTATCATCTTAATGAGAAGACAAGGTAGCACAGAACAAACAGATATCATCAGCAATAACCACTGACTGCAGCAGTGGTTTGTTTTTAAGAATAATGACTGCAAAGAAAAAAAGAGCATAATTTTATATATGAAAAACAGGTTTGTAAATCTGAGAGAAGCATTATATGACACGGTTCATAGTCATCACACTTCAGATACACTGCAAATCCTTCTTGCACCCGAGAGACTCTCCAAGTGCTTTGAAAACATTGATTAACCAAATCTTGGCATCCATCTCATACAATATGCAACATCATGTCCACCTAACTATTCTGAGCCTTACTTCCTGTAATAATTAAAACTTTGCCAATTATTTTTCACATGTATTACAATGCTCACCTGCCTTTTTACAATCTGTGTCCCTGAATCAAACAGCATATTTAACACCACATAAAACATATTCTTGTCTGGTTTAAAATATTTAAACTAGTAACATTTTATCTGAGTTTTTCGTTTGCTTTTTTCTTGTCATACAGGACAATTACCCTATTTAATACAAATAAACCATTTCAAAATATTCCTTTGAAACAGAAAGATGACAAAGAAAAAAACACGATTGAAGCTCAAAACACAAATAAGATACACTAATTACTTGCAATCTTCTCTGGAGTAAGAATTATTAACAGAGTGCCACCCCCAGCAGCAGCAAAATACAGGTTGCCCACAGCAGCAGAAATACAAGTTGCACACCTTCCTCATGCTCCAAGGAAACCTGACATTTGATGTAGCTCCCAAGTAAAGGGCTCAAGACCTGAACACCATACACACCTTACAAAAATGCCACAAATCATCATTTGTTGCTGTTAACAACAGGGAAGAAAAACTTTTTAACTAGAGAGTGCTAAGCGTCTCAGCAAACTGATTAGTCATGCTTCAGTGGGCTGCAGATTCTCTCCTGCTTTCAACAGCAAGATCAGAACTGCCTCTTAAGTCAAACGGAAAATGCTGTGCACTGCTACTTACCTTTCTGCCAAATCTCTTGTGTTTTCTGACATAGTCATTTGTATGCCCACTCAGCATTTAGGCATGAACATCTAGGCAACAGCACTCGGTGCTACTTAACCAGCTCGGAGTGACAGTCACACTGCGAGCACAGGGTAGGGCAGCGCCTGCTGCCAGCGATACTGTACTCCCTGATTGGTCATTATGGATGATACGATGAGAGTTACGAGCATCGCTAGTTCACTTAAAACATACTACAAATGAGTGATTTGGAAGCCAGTCCACGACACGTGAAGTTCATATATCACTCAATGCTACTAATGTAGAAGGTGCTGGCAGCTGCCAGCGTTATTTTTGATCTACAGACTTGTCTGAAATTTGTGGCAGCATCAGCTATATTTCATTCGGTACAAATTAGGCAGAAGTCAAATATCCCAGTAATTACGGATCTGAAGCAACAAAAAATTACTGCATGCAGCAGTGGACCACATTGGAAACCCATGAACCAGAATGGAGAATCAAATGAGGCCAGCTGACATTCAGGAGAATTGAGGCATTGATTGCTGCAAATGCAAGAAACAGGCAAGAGAGACAAGAAAGTATTTCTCAGTAAGGATTCTCCAGAAAACAGGCTTCAATCCATCAGCCAAACTGCTGCTTTTTGTTGGTTCCTGTAACTTTGAGAGGTAGCGAGACTTTACACGTTCTTTGTAAAAATATCTCTTTAATGCCATGCAAAATCAGGTAAATTGGCATAAACAATTTAATCAGTGGAGTGAGCTCATCTGGCTGATTCTGCCCAAAATAAACTAGTGTACTCCCAAACTGCTTTGCTGGCGTGTCAGCACTACTGGTCCTGTACATAAGAAGGGTAGCTACATGCTGCAAAACCAGTCATCTCTCTCATTACAACAGCTGTACTGTACAAGTTGATCAGCTACGGTCTACTTAGGTAAGTCAGTTTGTCCAAGAGCATCTACTGTTAAAAATTGCACAGGTCTTTTCTTCTATACATGCTCTTATTTGTTCAATTACACAAAGCAGTACCAATAATGAAGACATTAACTGCTGAAGGAAGATCCAAAAATGATAAACAAGTGAAGGGTAATATCAGGAAGATACTCTGAAGACATTAACATACCTGATTAAATCTTGTTATTTTTATGACATCCTGTACAGGAAAAGCCTGTGCTGCATTTGGTATAAAAATTATTGTAATAGATCCACAGGCTGCCCCATTAATGACTTCATTACACGTTTGTAACAGCACTATGTACCTGGGCCACAGCAGGAGATAAAAGACATTATTACTGGGTTGGTTTTCCCCAGTTGGGAATAACTACTGGTTACAACTTTAAATTAACCCAGGTGCTTCCACAGCAGGATCATGAGCTACTTTGAAAAGGTTATTCATCATTTTCACTAGCTGTTTATACAATTTATAATTGGTACTGTATTCTCCGAGCAGTCTTTAAAGTTCTGTATGGTGAAGACTCTGGCTGTTTCCGCCAAGTTCTTCAAGACTTGAGTTGGCAGGTTTTTATTTGAATACCACTTCTCTGGAAACAATTATACACTCAGACAACCTTCAGCACGCAACCTGTCTTTCCCCACATGTATCAATGTTTTCTTTTAACTAAAGACAACAAATGTAAAAAATTAAGATGTGAAATATTTCCAAATTTAGGCCATTTCCCCTTTGGTTTTAGAATCTTCTTTCTTGTTTTTTTGATTTTTGGCAGCAGGTCTTGCAAGGACAGTCATATGGTTCTCACTGTAATTTTATTATTTATGAAATCATCATTCTCTGCCCTAGGGACCATGACTGAGGGTGCTTCACAAATCATAATTACAGTGCATCCTGTGACTTCAGGTAAGACCTGATCTCCTTACTCCACTGCATCGCCATCGTCTCTAGTCGGAAGTGCAATTACTCGTGACATCCTAGGCAATGCCCTTTTAATTTAAATATCAAATCCTTTTTATGCCAACAGCAACACCAAACAAAATTAGTAAGTAGAACTAAGCAAAATTAGATTTCTGAATATTAATTAAAAGTAAAGCGTTTTCAAAAGTAAAGAATCATGATGTCTTCCATGGTCAAAAGGAGGAGGAAGCAAGGCTTTTTTAAGCATGGGAGTTACCATATTTCTGCATAATTTTATTTTACTGTGTGCATGATGTCGACTGGTTTCTTACTATAAGTTTGCAGCGCATATGCTTTATGATTTATCATTGGCTTTTATAGACTTCTTCAATAAAAAGGATCTTGAACCTTATATTCTGCAAAATCCTGAACTACTGACTTATTTGACCTTAGTAACAATTATCAGAACTTTGCAAAAAAAGGTAAATCTGAAGTTTGTGCCTTTATAGTAATGCTTTTAATAGTAATTCAAGAGCTCCTCCAGTATTGTGAAACACTGAAAGCAAGTTAAATCAGTCATATCCTAAAATATAGATACATTTCTCTGCCAAATCTACATTATCTGCATAAGTCAGCTGAGGTAGCGTGCATGGGCAACATCATTTGGAGGAAGAGAACAAAATAGAGAGTTTTAAGCACAATTGAGCTAAACCAGTACTTGATGAGAAACCACTACAGAGAAGACCAAACACTGGTGACTCAGTAGTTGACTGTCTTCATTATCAGGAGACTCTTGGAGTGGGGAGCAGTTGGAAGTACATCCTGTTATCCCAAATATAGGCTAGTCCCAAGCACACAAAGCAAATGAGATGCAAGATCAGAGAAAAGCGTCTAATGGAAAGATTGTATTTCCATTCCAAAGAAACTTCACAGCAAAATCTTTGTAACCATACTAGAGACCTTCTATCTCAGGGGCTTGAACAGCACCAGTACAATTGGGTTCAGTAATGACTGACACTGCTTTCATCTTCTTCAGAAACATCAACAAAGCTCCTCTAGTGAATACCAGCCTGGGTTGTGGGTTGATTGGAGCAGCAGCTATACCTATACTGCACAGCTGGCTTCTGCTCCTGCGGTCTCACTGACACATTGCTTCTGTAACACAACAGAAACCACTCAGCACCCATCCTTACTACATGGAAGGTGATGTGAATACAGCTGTTTATCTGAAGGGCTATAATTTCAGTTTCCTGTTAAGTAATTTTGAAGTATTTGCTCTTATATTCAACAATTTGGACAATACAGAGTTTTGGTCTCCTTTACTCCCTTTATATCAAGGGTTCTCTGCATAACATACAGTTTCCATTTTTGCATGATAATGCTAAGGCAGCACAAACACTCAGCACTGGTAGAACAGACTGGGCTGCACCAATACATATTTTTGCAGCTCTTTTAAGCTACCTGCATCAATAGTGAATACACCTGGCAGGACACCTTACAACTATAATGGTGGAGAGCTCAGTACGTACAGAGAAACAACAATTAGCATTACATTCTATTTTTACAAAGAGATTTAAAGAGGCTTGCTTCTAGCCATGTCAGAAAAAAAGTACTAAATTCTTAAACAACCTCTTTACAGAGTATGAAATGGAACTGAACAGATTAGTCTCACACACCCAAAGCAGCTTCATTTTTTCCAAAGAGGAAGAAGCAGTAAAACCATACAGCTCCCTACAAACACTGTGCCACTCAGGCTACCAAAGCTCCATCAGTGCTAACACTTCACGAACACTTCAACCATTCACAGATGTGGTGAGGAACATCCCTGAGCACATTTCAAATTTTAGGATTTCATTTCTTAACAAAAAAAACATCTAAAGACACTGCCAACCTTTGAACATAACCTGGCTTGCTGATACACAGGCCACCATGTGTGGTGGGTACTGTCACTGACACCCAGGTGTCCTTCTCATCATATGTTTTCAAAAATATCACCACTGAATATAGAAATTCTTGCCATGACATCACTTTCTGTTCTCATAATGCTGGATAATCACAAAGACATTAGAAGATACCAGAACACACCTGGGGTTGGTCCCTTGAGCCTTTTCAGTTTGCCAGGTTATTCCTAAATTGATGACTACTTCTTTTCTAAATGATTACTTTGAACAACAATGTGTTACAAATGTTCTGAGCCCGAGACTGAAAAAAATCTCTACATTCAAAGAAAACAAAAAGCACATCACTTGGGAAGAATTCTTTTCCTCTTCTGCAAACATTTCCAAAAGCATGAGATCAAAAAATAATCTCGGATGAACAGCTCTCTCATTACCACAAAAAGGAGAACCAGTAAGTAGTGTACTACTCAGTTTTTAGACAATACAGGATTTTCTTCATAATTCAAAACCAAATAAACTAATGCAAGAAAATGAATTCTACCGTATCCTTTCCTGTTCTATGTGCCAAGCTAGTTATACCTCAGCATTTACCTCTCTGTGTTCTTGAACACGTTCCTGGCCTGTGACTAAGATTCCTCGGTGCTGCAGAAATACCATTACTTCTCATAACAAAGCAATTGAGAGGTTTCAATAATCATGTTCTCCAAATACTCTGTATAGAGACACAACAGCAATGAAATTCTGGAGTTCAGGAGATCTTAGTCAGTATTTCAAGTTGTACACAGAGTATGACATGGTTTATTTTTGAGGTTAACTCTGCTCTGAAACCACCAAGTTGTTGATGCCTCGGCAATGCCAAAGGTCTTTTGTTAAAGATGCTGAAACCTTCAGCCCTTCTGTTTCAGCAAAAGCTCACACAACAAAGGGATGTGGCAAAGCAGTCAAGTGAGCAGAACAAAGTCCAGGGAATCAGTAGACTTGTGTTTTGCCCTTGATCCCACCGCTGTTTAACTTGAACCAAGCAGGATCTGGGTTGCATTATGTTCTCATCCTGTATTTGAATGGGCAAACAATGCAATAAATTCATTAAGATAGGTTTGTTCAGACAAATAAAGAGTATTGATGTCGTTTTTGCAGTTCCCTTTCCTTTCCGTATTGCACTGCCATGACTGCTCACGGAGAGCTAAGTGCACCATTGTGGGTGATTATTCCCAGTCAGTAGAACTGCCTGCATCAGAGAGACTGAAAAAAAACCCAAACCAAACCAAACCAATATAGTCTGGCAAATTACAAATTATCAACCCAAGCACCCCGGAACTGTAATAACCCATTGGAATGTACACAGGAAAAATTTTCTCAC